TTTATTCTTTTCCTTTGTCACTGCAAAAAAAATCCTGCTAAATTCTGTATTTCACATATAGAAATGCTTCAGAGTGACAAAAAACACAGTGCAGGCAAGTAAATTAGGATGTTTTATTAAGCGAGCCCATGCCCATAGCCTCCCACACAGCAGCGTTTTTAATCCTCCCGTCAACAAAGTAGCTCGTCTGTAAAAATGTGTTTCAGGGTTTCTGTGTGAAAGGAGAGATAATGAAGGAAAACCTGCATCGAGAAAATCTCACTGAACAAATTGGCTCCTTTAGAATTATCTGAAGTTTTTTTTTTCCCAAAGAACAACTTAAACTGTAAGGTCAAAAATGTAAATTACCACCAAAGAGAGTTATTGTAATATCAGAAAAAAATGAAGCACAAATGCTTCCTGTTATTCATGGAAGCACATAGAAACCTACACAGCCTTCAGATGGTGTGCTGCAGGTAGAGAGGAAGCGGTGAGGGAGAGATGCAGTTGTCGTAGAAGAGCTGAAGATTCTGATCAACGTCCATGTGGCTTTTCAGAAAGATTTCCAGCTCCTGGACGGGCATCTCGTGAACGCTGTTGCCCTCTTTGGCGTTTTTGGCCAAGGCGCCGTAGGACGGGAAGTAGATGCGAATGTTGTGGGGCGAGTTGCGGTCGTATTCGGTGCAGCAGTAAGCGGACCACACGTCTTCGGGGATGGCCACGCGGTCCTGGTTGTTGCGACGGATCATGTTGCCCCTGGTGGTCACCCCGGTGACGATGTAGGCGGTGCCGCGGCAGAAGTTGTTGAGGCGGACCCGGATCCGCTCCTCAAACTCGCGCCAAGGCCCGATGTTGAACTCCCGGATCTCTGGGACGACGTTGGTCAGGGTGTAGGTGGCGGCGCGGTCGTGTGGAGTGGACTGGTGCTGGTCTGGGTTCAGGTGGCCTCGTTCGTAGAGGACCACATCGGAGTAGTCGTCCAGCACCGCCTGGCTGTCCTCAAACTTCATGTGCAGGTAGCCGGTGGGGAAGGGCAGCATGTTCCCATTCCCATCGGTTTCTGCCAACTGGAGAGACACCGAACAAAACTTAGAAGACTCTTTTAAAACGTGGAGGATTCTGATTAATACAAAACACAACCATCATCAGTGATTAGACCTGTTTGTGGAGCACCTCAGTGGGAACTACTTCATGAAACAGCTGTTTGAGAAAGACTCTGACCTGTGGCTCGTACATCCACGGGTAGTCCACGCGTCGGTCCCCCTCCGTTTTCTTGAAGGTGTACGCCGAGTAAATGGGGATGCGCTGCTGAGGATCGTACAGGGTCACGTATCGAGGCTTGTCGGCGTAGCGTTGGCAGATCTTCTTCAGTTTGGTCTCGATGATCCCCCGCGGTGGAGTCCCCATGTACAGAGAGTCCTTGCACCGCTCCACATGGTTGAAATCTTGGACGACTGTTGCCGACGTTAGAAAATTGAATAAAAGAGCAACAGCTATAGGTGTTAACATCTTCATGGCTCTCCTCAAAGTCTAGTGCTGAGCCTTCTGAAAAACGATGACAGAAAATGTTTGCAGTTATGATTTAAATGTCACGCAGCAGATATGCAAAGCAGGAAGCATGTGATGAAAGGACGGGCCTCCTAGTAGGTTGCTGCAGCAGGACTCTGACCTACAACTTTTTCAATAATATTGAATACTGTTAGAAACATTTGGACCTTTTGAGGTTAGATGCATCATCTCCATGGTCATCTAAGCTGCCTTGACAGTTTTGTCTGTTATGATTTCACCTGTGAGATGGATGGAGGCCAATGGTTATATCGATGGTGCGATCAAATGGTTTAATAACCGGATACTGCTAAAGGTTCACTGATGTATCATAAAGGTGCTTTGTGTTTTTTTTTAACTGTAATTTGTATTTTTAATCACTGGAATGCAGAGTTACTACGAAACACATGACCTCGAACTGGCATGTTCAGGAATGTGTTACCAGCGTAATCGTAAAATGCAAAACTGTGTAATCTGTCTCCGTGATGAACAAAAGGCCCACAGTGTGCTCCAGAGGTACTACGCTGCTCCGTGTCAATGGTGGATAAGAGTGAACCAGAGATAAAGCATTAAAGTTTAACTGCGTAGTGACAAAGAGTGCAGTCTGTGTGCAGTAGAACCGGGCCTCAGTAGCCGCTGTTAAACAATTAAACTCTAAAATGTAGTAAAATAAGTCGACAGTCACTAATGACCAGAGGTGATAAATCTTTGGCACCGCTTTGTTTAAAGGGGTGAGCGTGCAGGTCTGACATGACACCCGCCATGAACATAAAACAGTCTTTATGAGTGTTTATGACTGTTGTTATTGAGTGTGATTCGGTCTTTTTTAATGCAGTAGTTTCGACATGTCCTTCTTGTGACAGCTTGACATTCACCAAGAGTTACCATTCAGGTTTTACGTCTAGGGTTTAATAACTGGTCCAAACCATTACGGTTGAGGTCAAGGAACGTTTCCATGATGTACATGTAATGGTTTCCTCACAGACAATGTCAAACATGGGCACACATAAAGCTAAATAGTTAAAGGCTGGTAATTAGACCTGCTGTGTCGTTTTTGTGACAGATTATGCTAATTTATTAAGAAGCACATTTAAAAACAACGAGCATTTATTGCAAAACAGCAACAGTAAAAAGCTATTAAACTGTAACATGTAAAAGCAAACGTCAAAACTCTGTCTGGTTTAGAAGGGAGTAAGAGTGGGTTTAGAAATGGGTTTTAAAAATACCCAGTGTTGGTCTTTAAAAGGCCTCATCTCCTCTATGTTTTAATGTGGACCTCTGGACATCCAGGAGCTGGGTCAGTAGACCTCAGTGATCTTATGGGAAAGTTAAAAGATCAGAAGAGCAGGGAGGTGCTAATCCATGTAGGCGCTTAAAAACAAACAGTGTAATCTTAAAATCAATCTTCTAGAGAGCTGGTGCCGATTGGCCAGTTTTGGCAGGAAGTAGTCTGTCTTGTGTTGTGTGCTTTGTAGCAGGCGAGAAAGCAGGACACATGAGTAGAGCCTGTTGCAGCATCTAGCATGGATACAATAAAACCACTGACAGAAAGACAAGGCTTGACCTTTGTGGGGACCCTCGGCTGGAAGGAGCTAGCACTGATAGCTGCATTGTTGTTTTTTGGCTTGTGAATGCATTGTCTGAGGTTTTCAGCAAAGGGTCTGTTGTAGGTACCTAATGGGCCAAGCTGCACCTCTGAGGGTGGCGTCGAGGTCCATTCTTACTCCACTAAACTGTCAGGTTGGTCATTAGATCTCCTGCAATGTCAACTTTGCATTTACCGTCACATAATTGAACGTCATAAGCATTCATTAAGACTCTTTCATGTTCTTGGCAGGTGCTACATCATGGTTCTAATGGTGTCGGTCCGTGTTAAGCACACCCCATTAGGTGACGTGTTACTAAATCTTTTATCATCTTTTGTGCAGGTAAAGGTTTATTTATAGAGGCAGGGCAGAAGTGTCAGTTGAGAGGATGGTGTTTGGGTTTTTTATGACAAAGATTCACAGATTTGTGATGAATATAAGGAAGAAAAATAAACCAGAAGTACTTCATAGCAAATCAAGAAACTTCATTTGCAATGAAGTACAAATATTTCATAGCAAATGGCTCAGTGTTCTGCCAAAATGGGTTCTTGACCTAATTTGGCAGCTCGCTGTGTACAGAGCAACCGATCCATCTGAAACTGTCTCACAGTTTCCACAGTTTTTTTTTTCCGTCCTCGGTATTCCTTTACAGCTTTTGGACACTTATTGCAAATTCTTTATTTTTATATTTCTCCTCATTAATCTCATTTCTCACCAATATTTGATGACTCAAGCTGAGCATTTGGCCCTTTTCAAGCACTTGCATTTTACATTTCTGCACATTTGTCTGGTGGTCACATTGGCCACCTTATAAACAGGAGGTTGACTGATTTAACTCCCCATCAGCCACATGTCTTGTCAAGGGGGTCCTTGATCTCATTACACGTGGTCTGAGGAGGATTATCGTCTAAATCAGTGATTCCGGCCAGGGCTACTTGCTTCTGCACTTGGTATGAGGCAAAGATTTGGACAAATCTGCTAAAAATGAGTATCAGATGTTATTGTACAAGTGCCTTTCCCTTTTCATCACTGTCACTGATACGATCTAGTTAGCTTTAAGGGCTTCATTCTTTTTCCGTCCATCCATCATCTATGCACCTTAATCCTCACTAGGGTCACGGGGGGCTGGAGTCTATCCCAGCTGACTCAGGGTGAAGGCAGGTTCACCTGGACAGGTAACCAGTCTATCACAGGGCTACACTTAGAGACAGACAACCAAGCACACTCACATTCACACCTACGGACAATTTACAATCACCAATTAACCTCAGCATGTTTCTGGACTGTGGGAGGAAGCTGGAGAACCCTTAGAGAACCCACGCTGCACGGGGAGAACATGGAGACTCCATGCAGAAAGATCCCAGGTGTCCTCACCAGGACGTGAACCGGCGACCTTCTAGCTGTGAGGCAACGGTGCTAACCACCTTGCAGCCCTCATTCTTTTTCATTTTCTCAAATTAGTCTTTAAATGCATCAACAGTCCCAGAGCCTCTTTCCACATATATCCACTTACAAGATGCGGCGAATACCACATCGTACATCTAAATTTATACAAACATCTTTCTCCATACAGGGCTGTCAACTTCTGAACCCATTACCAACTAAAATCAAATAATATGCAAATATTCACATAAAAGGTTAAGTGCTGGCTAAGAGCAAGTAACCTGTTGCCTGTAGATACCTGTTGTGCTTTCCTGTCAGTAGATTTATTGTGATTTTATGAGAGTGAGCGGGGTATGTTTTAATTGTACTGCGTATGTAAAAAGCCCAACCAGGTCAAGAGTTGAAAATGGTGCAGATCATCAGGTTCATTATCTGTAAAAACTGCATCGTCCCTGTGAAATAACCAGTTTCAAAGATAGTTGGGAGCAGTAAAGAGAAATAAAATGTTCAGAGACATACATAAACAGTTGAAATGGGTCAATGAAAGCATGCTTTTCAGGTTAATTCAAATTCAGACATTTGGGCTCTCATGCTACATCTAATATCCCACAAACTCCATCTCCGTGGTTTCTGGTTCTGTCCTATGCTGCCCTCTGCTAAAGCCGGCCCCATGCAAATGGAAACTGTTTGTCAGATTAGCTGGAGCAACAATCCTTCACTGCCCTAATAAGTCAATTTGAGCGACTGAGTGTTGTTATTCATCGGGGGACCAGCCTGCCTCTCCGATCTAATCTTGAGTTATGACAATCATAACTTATGTAGCTGCGGCTGATGATGCAGTTATGTGAACAGACATTTTTCAGCTGTCAGCATTTTTACCAATTAAAATTATAAATTCAGGCCGAGCGCAGACTCAGCTCAGCTGCCCTCTGCTGCTCCTCGGTGGAAGAGTTAGCGTTGTGCTGCTGCTGTTTCTAATCAGTTCTGTCGTAGAAAACGTAACGCCGTGGCTGGACTGTCCATGTGACGCATTTTACTTTATTGTCGTTGTGTGAGTGATGGGAGAGTTAGGAGTAGTTTCTGTGGTGTTCAAGTATTTGACAACATTATCTGTGTCACAACAGATCAGGTAAAATGTGTTTGAGACGCGATTGATAAATAATTCAGCAGAGAAACTGGTTTGACAGAGAACCTTATAAGCCAAAAATTGAGTGGTTAAAAACATGCTTGAAGCAAGGATGGAAGGTTGGTAGTCAAATCAGTAATCGTTTCTTGCGGTGGATTAAAAATGCTGGGTACATCTGTTTGATTTACACTATTTCTCATGCAAACCACAACATTGAAGACACCTACTTAGTATTGCAGGTCCCCCTCGTACCACCAGAACAGCTGTAATCCATGAGGCTGTGAACCCAGGACACCCTTACATGTCCTGGGTTCACGGCCCAACAGATCCCTCGGCTCCTGTTGGTCATGAAGTGAGACCTCCGTGGACTGAGTTTGTTCCATTCTGCTGCTGCTCAATAGGATTGTGATTCGAGGAGATTGGAGGCCAGGTCGTTGCTTCGAGGGACTTGCTCGTTATCCTTGAGCCGTTCCTGAGTAGTTTTTGGGGCATGGAGGGGCGCATTGTGCTGTTTCTGGTCTGCAGTAATATTTCGGTAGGTGGTATATGTCAAAAATAGGACCCAAGGCTTTCCTGCATTGCAATGAGATGATCGATGTTACACACTTCACCTGTCAGCGGCCTCAACGCTGTGGCTGTTTGTTAAGATTTTATTCTACGCTGCTGCACCATGATCCTCAGACTGGCGTTGAAGTGAGCGGTCGGCATCAATTTTACAAACATGACTGGCTCACTTGAAATAAGCCTATTAGACAAGCACAAACGTGTCAGGCTGTGAGGAGATGTATTGACAAATTAAAGAAATGAATTGTTTCGGGTATTATGCAGTGACAATGTTATGGAACACATTATGACAATATAATGAAATAGATACTTAAAAATACATTAAAAATATCCCGACCCACTCTATCATATCTAACAAAAAAAAGAAGGCTGTTCATGGCAGATCTGCTTCTTGATCTGCTGATGTAATACCGTATATTGCCCACATGGGGGCGGTGTAGACTTGGTTGTTCCCATTTCCTGCTTCATGTGGATTGACAAAAAAAATCAAGTCAACTTTATTTTAATCCAACGTTGCAGGTATAAAACTTAAAGGTAGCAGACACTGTTCATTGTCTGATGTGATATTTTTTAACTTGTCCCACCAACAAAAAAATAAATAAATAAAAAAAATTAAAAAGCAGAGGACTTTTATTTTTTTGGGAAAAACTAGATGATGCAACGGTGCAAACACATGCAGAGAAAAAGCACAAACTGGTGCATAGAAAATTACCGTAATGTAGAAATGATAAGGTGCCTGATCCGATTGTTGTTTTTGCTTTTTTCTTGTCTCTCGTATTTCAGTGTCATATCGTGTCAGGTGAAAAGTATTTACATCCACATTTGCATTATTATAAAAATGACTTCATAGGTGACAAAAAAGATGTGCTGCATCTTTACTGTACCATTTGATCCTAAGCAGCTTTTTTTTTCTTTTTTTTGCAATCTAATCTCGTCATCGAAATTACCTTTTGCACACTTCTGTTGTACTCTTGTTGCACTATATTATTTGCACCACAGGACTTTTCTATTTGACATATTATTTTTGCATTTTATATTATTGTTTATTTTTGCTTATTTATCAGTATTTACGGTGGCGGTAACTTTATCTTTGGTGCCATAACAACCACCTTTGGGGATTAATAAAGTATTCCTATTCCATTCTAACCTACAGAGGCCATGTTGTGTGCTTCCACTGCGCCACCAGGGGGCATAATTTAGCAGCTATTCTGGCCTGTGAAGCTCTCCTCACTTAGTTCTGCACCAAAGCTTGCTGATTGGTCCAAATACCCACATGGGGTTGCGCTCTGACCAATAGAGTTTGGGCTGATCGGGGGCTGTTGCTAAGGCACTTCAGAGGCAAAAAAAAAAAAAAAAAAAAATCTGTCAGCAGTCTGCTTCCACCATTTCACTCTTCCACTCGTCTGGCTCCTCATCAGCTTCTCCCTCCGTCTCTACCTCTCACTGGGCTCTCAGGGCTCCAAAAGCTCTGCCTTCTTGCTTTTTTATTGGTCGGCGACGGGTGAAACGAGCCGAGGGGTGAGTGGTGGGTTTTTTTTTTTTTTGCATTGTGAGCCACAAAGACTTTTAGGCCCTCCCTCGTGAAACCGGGATCTGTTAGCCCCACCTCCCCTGGTTATCCTGTCACTTGACATTTGAGCTCTCAGCCAACACTGGCAGCCCCTCTGTCACCATTTCACTCTGAAAAAAAAAAAAAAAAAGAGTGTTTGAGCTCCACTGAGAGCTGCAAAAAAAATAAAATACATGCACACAAAACAGCTTGATTGTGTGCATGAGATGTTTGTTTTTTTTTAACAGATAAGAACATTCAAAGTGAAATGAATGCTGCAGAAATCCTTAAAAAAATATCTTCATCCGCTCCCACAGATTCTTTTATCCAGCTGTGGAGAGATTTAAAATATCTGCTCTACTGTACTGGCTGTGCTCCAACTTACTCACACACACATATACTGTATATACACACTCACACAGAGGAAGAGAAATAAAGAGCCCCTCATTATTTCTCTCTGTCTGCCGCTGTCTCCTCCTCCTGCCTCCTCTCGTTCACTGCAAAAATGTGACAGATAACAGATTCTCGCCTCCCATTGGCTGCGCGCCCGTGATGGACAGCCGGTGGTCCCGCCCTCCCCTCCTCCCCGTCGGTCCTCCTGCACATGGATCGCTCTGCTATGAGAGCCCCAGCATCAGAGAGAGTGGAGTGGAAACAGGAAGAGGAGGAGAGGGGAAGAAAGGAGACAGAGGAGAGGATCGGGTGAGACAAGGTGGCGAGGAGTGAAAGGGAGGAAAAAGGGGAGCAGAGAGGGGTGTGTGAGGACCAAAGAGGAAGAAGACAACGAAAGAGGTAATAAAAAAATAAATTTAAAAAAAAGGGGGACTACAGAGGAGCTGCTGCTTCTGCTGCTGCTGCTGCTGCTGCATGAGCTTTTATGGCTGAATGGAAATGTACTGCATGCATTGTACAGAGTGCAAGAAGTGTGTGTGTTGCTGCTGCCTCTCTGTTTGTCTTCATTTGTTTGTTTTTGTGTGTGTTTTCTCTATATCATTCAGTGATTCGTCTTGGAGTGGAACATACTGCAGTGTGTGTGTCTGCAGACTGCTGCTGCACATTCATGCATGAAGCTCACACACACACACACACGTACACATACACACGCGCACACACATGCAATGCTCACGTGCAGACACAGCGAGCGCAAGAGCAGAAATGTGAAATGATGAATGTAGTGGAGGGGAACTGTTGCAGCTACTCTCCTTGTGTTGTTGTGTTTGCACTTGTGCTCCTGCTGAATGTTTTAACTGTTGAATATCAGCCCGTGTGAGTGTGTGAGTGTGTGTGTGTGTGTGAGGTGTACAGTAGTAGGAAGCCACAGTGTGACCAAGTGCAACAATTAACCTTCATTTACAGTAATGTCTGAACTGTGCACACTTACTGTTGGCTCCACTCAAGTTCGCCTCACTTTGCTTAACACACTTTAAGACTATTTTGCTTTGCAGCGTTTTCGTAAAAATAATTCCCTGAAATGTCTCACTTTTATTTATGTGTCACACTCATTTGTGACTTGTTTCGGAAAAAAAAAAAGAAAAAAGAAAAGGACATCTAGGGTTACAGTCAGTCACCTAACGTACACCGTGAACCCAGTGTACGCTTTCAGTTGATATGATTGTCAGCTTAGGTAACCACCTGGACGTGCATTTCTAGGTTACCGTTACCCACACAACCCAGCTGTCGGACGCCCACAGACACGCACGTGCACGCACACGCACACACGCACGCTCGTGAATCCGGTGTCTTCTTCAAACCTGTTAACCTGCTTCGTTGTCTTTGTTCACAAAAAAAAAAAAAGCTGTACATTTCGCATTGTTTGCAGAAGACACCCCTCTTTCTTGTTCTTGACCTTGCCTTGGTACATTCCGGCACCCCTCAGAGGGCTGTGCTTTATGGAGCATACACCGGGAGAAGCTGCTGCTGCTGCTGCTGCTATAGAGAGGGAGAAGGGGATAGGGCAGAGGGAAGCGGGGCTGCAGGGATGTTATTTTTAGAAATGTGATTGATATTCGGCTCATACTGTAAGTTCTTTCTCTCTGATCGTGATGCTATTTCAGGCGTGCGTCCAATAAAATCCACACACGTGCATTCATTCAGGGTGGGCTGTCCACTGTCTGTCCGTCTGTCTGAACAGTGTTGCTTCTCGTTTCCTCTCTCCATCTGTTCCCTCCATGTCTCTGCTCTTCGTGTTAAGCTAGTGGAGGAGCCACCAGAGACAGGCCTGGTCTATTGCAGCCCATCCCTCCTTTTATGGTATAGGAGTGTATCCTTACTACATGCACGCGTCAAATCCCAGCAAGAGATGCACATCTGCAGTGGTTCACTGCAGCTAGCAATGGTTGAGATTTGCACGAATGGTTTGGTTCTGGTGTGTCCAAATGAGGACTCAAAATGGAGTGTGTTTGCAGCTCTTCACCACTCAATGAATATTTTTTATTCAGGTGACAGAGCTGCTTGATAAATGCTGCAGACCTCTGAAAAGAGTCAACTGAGAAATGTGGACGTGTATACATCCAATCCTATAGACTGTCTGCCCACCCACCCCCCTCTCACCATGTCAAAATCACACACAAATGCAAACACTCCCCTCCTTGCTTGAGGCCTTCCTCCCAGCTCTGGACTAAATGATATCATCGGTTGCCAGGGATACAAGGACACAGCGTGCAGAGAAAAGGGAGGGTGAGGCATAGACAGAGCCACACACATTGCCTGAAAGAGAAAGCAAGAGGCTGGGATATTGGGTATCAAGAGGGGGGGAAAAAAAAAAAAAAAAAAGGAGCCTTGTTGAAACAAGTAGTGGAGATAGCAAAGGCAAGAGGGCAGGGCCATGAGGAGGAAAGATAGGAGGAAAGAATGCCTGCCAGCCTGTCAGAGGTTACCAGCCCATGTTTCCTCTCCCCTCCTTCTTACATCTCATTTCATTCTCTCTCTCTCTCTTTGTCTGGAGGTGGGTCAGATTTGCAACTGCAGATGTTGCAGGAAGTGAAAGACAAGAATAGAAAAGAATGGAAGCTATACCTGAGGGATGCAGGAGAGTTACTACCCTGGATTTGAAACAATAAACCCTTCCTGTCTTGTACATCTGTGCACCAACTGGCTGTGGTATTTCCTCATTCTCTCTACTATGTGTGTGTGTTTGCCAGCGAGCAGAGGATGAGCCTGTCTATTTAAAGGCATCTGAGACTGCACGGGTCTGCTGTCTTTCTATTCCTGACCGACGGCATCAACAAATTTGGACCAGAAAGTCTGTCTCCCCCCCTTTTCCCTCAGTCCTCATTGCAAGGTAAGATTAGTTACAAGAACGCACAAGCACACACACACATGTACTTTATATTAGCTTTCAAATTAATGTCCCCAATTTAGACTTGGCAAAAAATGATGAGTGTAGTGAAATTGTAAAAGGGTTAGACAACCAAATGGGGGCTTTCAGTAAAGATTGGATGGTTGCCTCTGTAGTGTCCAGGGACTCCTTGATGACGAGACAGAGGGCTGCAGACAGTATGTTTAACCTACCGCCAGGTCTTCAGTGCTCACCCACCAGCATAACAAATACAAGGTTTTAATTGTAACCCATCATTCGTGCACAAATATTTAACTTTGTATTTGAGGAGCAGAACTGTAGAAGCAACGCCATCATGTAATACAACTTGCATTTAATACAATACACTCCTGTACTGTTTGCTTTAACGTTATCTCCCTGTGAAGGAGAGAGTTTACCCAACAGCAACTTAACCCATTTTGCACATGACATCATTTGGCGTCGGAGCTAAACTCCAGATGTCTTGAATTAACCCCGCGCAGATGGGTTTAATATTGGAAGCACAGAGCCATTGTTGTTAGGAGCCAAATTTAAGCTGCTGTTGACTGACAGCTCCCCCTACAACACGGTAACATAAGTGTGCGTTCCAGTGTGCAACAGGGAGGGTCTACAACAGATGGTCTGTCTACTGTTTGCGTAATGTTGCTCAAATACTAGCAAGCTCTTTGGTTGCATGCACAGTAAGTGCAACACTTTGTCTAAAAATGTTGTAAAACCACACAGACAGTGCAACACAGTTTACGAGTCGCTGGCATGAATCAAGCACACAGTGAACTTCTTTGTCAGAATTCATAACTGACGACAATGCGACATTTGTATGCAGCAACTGATGGCATATCATGCTGCGCAGAAAGATAAAGGGTCGCAGTGTTATTTTACTGTATGTTCGCAGTGCACCACTGTATGCACATAAAGGCCTGTTGTGTCCTGTCTTTGCTCTAAAAATACATCTAAATGCAGTTGAGTCTAAAAAGCCTGCAGCCACAGCAGTAAGAACTGTCTGGCTTCAGTTGCTCTAGCAACTGGTTGGATATGGACTGTCGGAGAGGCTGCTTACTTGGCTCATTCAGCACTCACAGAAAGGTTAATACAGCAAAGCTGCACCAGCCTTACCACAAGCAAACCTGTAGAACAAACTCATTCTACGAAAAAAAACAAAAAAAAAACGTGAGACTAGGGAAGTGGTAAAATGTAGCACGCCACTTCGTTATGCCGGTTATAAATAGCTGTGGGAAATGAATGCATATAGAGGAGCTACCTGTCACTGGTACAACAATAACATCCTCGGCACGCAGAGTTGGTCCTAACAAGGTTATCTCAATTCAACACGAGCATGTTGTGGATAGGCAGACACACTAGGATGTCTTCTCTCTCCATGGTAACAGAATATGTGTCACAATTCTGTTTCCAGCAAGAGAAAATACCCAACCTGGTGTAGTTTTACAGTAGTGGCTCAATACTCAGTGGGACCCTGTGCAGCTCGCTGTGCCTCTGGAAGTTGGTGTACTTGAAGAAAATGGAATAAAAGGAAGCACAGATCTACTGATCTAGCAGCTGATTAAAGGCAGCAAGACTAGATGGCCAGAATGAGCCCCTATTGAGAATGTGTCCTGTTGATCTGAGCCACATCTACCATCAGTCCAGGCAGTAAATTAGGGCTTAAGGAAAAGGAAAGGGTAAGAGAAATACTACAGCAGTCCACCATGTTTTTTTTTTCTTTCTTTTGTTCTTAAAGTGAGGTTGCCATGGTCCTTGGTCTTACAGTCGTGCCTTTTTTTCTATCATTGGATGGCCACTGGCTGTGGGGCTGCTGGGTTGCAGTGATTAGAGGGAGGCTGAGTGAACAATGCAGCTCTGGCTGACTGATGATATGACCGCTGAACAGATACAGTGCAGCAGAAAATACAGCAGGAGAAATGAAATGTACTACAGACATACTAAATGACAATTTTTTTTTGTTGGTCAATCACAAATCCACATGATGAGAGACTTAAAACTAGAAACGTGTAAAGGTCTAGAAATGCATGTTTTTCAGTCTTTGCGGCCTCATGTTTCACTCAACCGTGCGTTTTGTCCACAGACTCCTTTTTGCTCTCAGGTGTGAAGTGGAGGGCCTCCCAAACACAGACCAAGACTGGTAACTGCAGAACATGTGTTTCTGTCTGTTGTGTACATTATGTGTGCATGTGCATGACTGTATAAATGCAGACATGCCGTACTGTGTGTATCACTGTAAAACTTTAGTTTATCGCAGAAGTACTTAGTGAATTGAAGGTTTATAGTGCAGTACCGCAAAACCAGTGAATGTCTAATCAGCCTAAGGTACAAGGATCCTCCCCTTTTTATCATACATGGTATAAATCTAGGAATTAATTGCATTGTTGTGCAATTCAGGGTGATGGGCATTCTTACAGCGTGACTTAAGTTTGTAAAGTAGCTGCACTTACTTAATGAATTTCATTCAGTCAAATTCTTCTAAAGAGGTGATATGTTTATCTGTTGATATATTTTTCCACCTGTGTTCCAGGCTGCATGTATCACCCAGCAGAGCTCTACTCTGGCCGTAACACATGGGACTCCTATCCAGCTGGGGGACCTAACAGAGGACAATGGGCTCCTGTCAACAGTCGCCCCTGGAGCCACACACAAAGGTGGGCTGCACCCTCACAACACTACCGTAAAATTAGTACTGCATCTACACTTTTACCCTTATTTACTAAAAGAATAGTATTCCATTTTAAATGAGAAATTTCACCCTTTCACCCTCAAAGCGATTTTGGCTTTCACAGCCGTCTGTCTGAGCTGTTGCCATGCAGTCACTGAGTGGGCAGACTCGAGGCTTCTCTGTGCACATCCGCCAAACTGGCGTCTACACTGGATGGCATGTGAGGCGTTTAGGGAACATCGGTAAATTGTAGTGTGCGTCCATAAACAGATGTTCAGCAAGTGAGGACTTTTGGGTACATTTTTGCCTTTAGGGGATGCACAGAGTTCAGGTGAAGAAAAACTGTGACGCAATTAAGTCTTATTCTGATGTAAATAATCAGCAGCAGTGTAGCACAACATGAAAGTGAAAGCAGTACTCTGTTTATTCAAATGAATGAATACTGTCAGTATTGGTCAAAACACCCCTGATTATCATTTTTTATTATGCAGCCCTATATGAACTTAAGGTATAAACACTCACCAAAGCCACCACAGTGACTACAGGAACCTTCAGTGTCAACGAGGACTTTGTTGGTTAAGGAAGCAGACACAATATAAGTGCAGCATTTCTGATAAAAAATTTTTAAAAAGTCAGTGGGAGTAGGAGCAACAACTTGAGCCTTAAACTTCCCCAACAAGAGTCGTTCCAGCAGGTGGGACCTCAGCTTTTGTTGTCTGGGCTGATTCTGGATGAGCACCACTTTATGGCGCTGACTGATTAACTGAAACTCTGATGAGCATATTCATGAAAAGCTCTTATTTCAGCTGCAGCTGTGAGAATAAACCCATCTGCAGTTAAACAAGCAGAGTTTTGGCGAATAAAACTAGATCATCCTCAGCTGCAGCTGACAGAAGCCTCAATCCGAGCATTGAGTTACAGCAGTTGAGAGCAGCTCTAATGAACGTGATTGTAACTGCGACTGTGAGTGTCTGATTGTGACTTTGGCCGATATAAACAATAGCGACTAATTGAGAGGTGCGACTCTCAAAGAGACATAAATGCCGAACTCTAAATAGTAAAAATAAACTTTAAAGCTGATGTGTTTTTGACTGAGCAGTATTCTGAGTAGAAGGATGAATTAGCATTTGATCCGGTTTAGCTCACCTGTAGCACCTGTAAGTTACTCAATGCGGGTGGTGGTGGTTTAAAAATTAACAGATGTGATTTATTGAGTTATAAAGTTGTTTCATTGAAAAGTTCAGTTGGGTCAAAGTGACATAATGCCCCTCTGTGTTGGGTTTAAACGATCCTCCCACAGGCAACTCAGTGAAGTGAAAGAAGTGCGTTGCTACAGAAGTGGATGGTTTTTTATCTGTCGAGGTTAATCAGAGTTGGTCGGCATGGTGTTGCGGTGGTTCGCAGTGTTACCTCCTGGGTTTGAATCTTGGGCTGGGGTCTTTCTGTGTGGAGTTACCATGTTCTCCCCGTGCAGTGTGGGTTCTGACCGGGTTCTCCTGCTTCCTCCCTCAAGCCAACGACATGTTGAGGTTAATTGGTGATTGTAAATTGTCCGTAGGTGTGAATGTGAGTGTGCTTGGTTGTCTGTCTCTAGGTGATGCCCTGTGATAGACTAGCTGGGACAGACTCCAGCCCCCCTGCAACCCTAGTGAGGATTAGGTGTTTATGATGGATGGTTAATCAGAGTCACATTTACAGAAACATTCATGAAGTAGTGTCTCATTTATGAGTGTTTTCATGTCGCTGTCAGCAGCAAGATTCTCTTGATTGAGACATTCAAAGAAAGTGCATCTATAGTGCATAAAGCCAGTATTCACCTCCTTCAGAAGTTTTCCCCTTTCAACACTGAAACATAGTTTGACTATCTTGAGAAGTATTTGCAAAAACAAACAAATGAAATGAAAACAGATTTCTGATTAATTTCAATTAATTTGACATATAAAATGTAAAAGTGACTGCATAGGTATTCGCCCCCTTCAAGTCTGTAATTAGTGAACGCACCTTTTCGGGCACAATTACAACAATTAGCCCGTGTGATAGGCCTCACTCTGCCCTGCACATCTGGACACTACAATCTTTTCTTTGCAAAACTGCTCAGGCTCTGTCAAGTTGCATGTTTTTAAAAACTTGGAAAGATAAATCAGTAGCTGTTTAAGTCAACAAATCAAATCTGTTTGGCTTCAACCCAATGTCTAGCCAGCGGTGAAAGTGTCAGAGCTCCTGGATTTGTATATTTTTACATGAACTGCACAAATACCTTGAGAGAATATAGATTTTTTTGTGTTTTTTATTTTTTATTACTACAGATGCCAAGGAGGGCGCAATCAATCACATCATTCACTATCCAATCGTCTTTACAATAGGTGAGTGGAACAGTACTGCAACTGTTTATTGTGTAGTACTGATAATAATCTTTAAAGTGTGAGAGCTTCGTTTTTTCTTAAGCAAAGTTCACTTGAACAGAACAAGGCTTCGTGCTGTCATGTACCTGAGTATTCACAGTGATGTATGAGGCCCCGTCTGTGTCATACTGTGGCAGAGTTGTGTTGAATTCTTGTCTGCAACCTGATACCTGCTGCTGAGTTTAGTTGGTCTTTTTCCTAGGGGGGACAGAGCAGTCAACCACGTCCAGGACAAGGGTATCTCCAAGGGGCACCGACAGCTGCTACGAATTGGTTACGGTAAAGACCAGCCGTTTGAGGCCCAGAACTGGCATCACAACTCCACACGCTCATTCCACAATCGAGCTGGCAGCAACAATAGTTACCTAACGGGACCAGGAGAGCGCTACTGGGACAACAATGTCAACAACTCTGTGGTGAGAGCTGTTCCCATCTGGAATATGATTATTTTCAAAGGACGTCATGTTGTCATTGAAGCTGGAAGTGTATCATCGTTTGACTCTTTCATCATAGCTGTGTTTCTTCTCTTTGTGTTAGCATGGGGGTCCTCGCCTGCATCGCAACAACAACAGGGAACTCCAGCCCCCGCCAGAGAGATGGGCCCCCTCAGACTGCCGCAGGAGCTTCCCAGGCAGAATGGTAAACAACAGACCAGGACCTTGGAAACGGCCGGCCCTCCACCAGCGGCGAGAGCAACTGCACCAGCACAGTCCACCCCCACAGCACCCTTTATCCCCGAGGGATGAGTTTCCAGCCAAGAGGAGGAGGGACTCGGGTCCTGATCAGGTAAAGGTGTTTCGCATAGTACAGCAAACTTTGTTTCATATGATAAACACAGCTTATTCATCTGAACACGCTGTGTGATTTCTGTGCAACAGCACCACCCATTGGCTAAACTTTGTCTACATAGTATGACAGGATATTTTTGCTTCTCTTTTCAGTCATCTCATCCTGGATCACGGCATATACCTTTACTTGTCCACGCCCCATCACCACCTCGCCACCATCGCTGCAACCAAGATGACTGGAAGCCTCTTAATGACAGGGCGGGTCCTTGCCACCACTCTGATCACAGGACCTCAGCAACACAGCAACAGGTAAGCTTGAAGCATCTGTGAATGATTACTGCAATTTTAATGTTAAGCCCCCGCTGCAGTGGCCGTGGCTCGACTCCAACCCATAACAAGATTTGCTGCATGTCCTCCCCCTCTCTTCTCCCACACTTTTCCTGTCTCTCCTTCATTACAATAAAAGCGAAAATAAATAATGTGAACAAAAGCCAAATGTTGACTTCTGCTATGTGTCTTTAAATTTGCAGGACACCTCTAAACTGCGAGCTGGAGGACATGGCCTCAGTAACCCAGCTCCGCCACACCAGAGCTGCGGCAGCAGACCACCGCATCATGGAAGCAGAGGGAAGATCGACCGGAAAGTCTCGTCCTCACCAGCAGACCACACCCGTGTGCCTTACAGCCACCAAAACCATCATTACCACCATCAGCGGCACACAGGCCACTCGAGAGCCCCACAGCACAACATCCTGCTACGCCCTCTGGAGGAAAAGGACTCACGGAGCCATCACCACAAACAAAGCACAGTAAGAGAGAAAAAATTTAATCACATAAAAATCTATCTGGATATTCTGTTTTCTGTGACGTTATTTCACTTTACGTAGTTAGAGTTTTGCATTCTGGATGCATGTGTTGATTAATTACATGAAAGTAGGAAATAAGACATAAATAAACTCTGTATTTCTTCTTTTCGTAGAAGCCAAAGCTTCTACTAAAATTAATGTTATCATAACAGTACGATACTGTTTGTGAATGAACATAATTGAGTGTCTTTTCTCTGAACAAATATAATTTTAAATCTGCAGGAAACTCAGCGCACCCATTTAAGGGGAAATTCAAGGGATGAAGACTCTCCTCCCTACTCATCCCTCCTCTGCAGTCCTAAAGATGGAGGCTCTGTTTCCAGCAGTCCAGGTGCTCCTTCCAGTCCCTCTTCATACGTAGCGGTCAGTGGTAGAAAAGATCCATCAGTCATTCAGCAGTGTTGTCCCAGCCTCAAGGGACAGCAGAAACTTCAAGAAAGCCCCAATCACACCCCGAGACTGAGTCTGTCATCGACCACATCGCTTACATCTCACGCTGGTTCCAAATCCAGGTTTTCAGATCCCAAATACAGAAAGACCTCACAGCTCCTCTCCTCACGACAGTCCCCTCACGGCAGATCAAGAGCCAACAAGCCTGAGAAAGAGATGGAAGAACACAAAAACCCTGAGTACAAGCTGAAAGATAGGCCGGTCAAAAAGGAGAGAAAGGGTGAATTCCTAAAGACCAACAGGAAGGGTGAGGAAAGAAAAAGACGGAAGAAAAAGGAGGAAAAAAGGTTGGGTGAGAAGAAAAAGAAAAGAGAGAAAATATTAAAGAAAGAAAGAAAGTTAGGCCAGAAAACTAAAGTCACAGAAAAGGAAATGTTTTCTTCTATCTGTACCTCCTCCTGTGCAGGCGAAGCCAAAATGAGTAAGATGGAGACTTCAGCTTTGACTCCAGAGAATCAGAGTCAGTCACCCCCCAAACACAAGCACAGGGAGAGGAGTGAGCAAGCAGAGAGGATATCACACAAGCCGTCCACAGACAATCCTCATCCCAGCTGCGCTTCACAGCAGCGTCCCTCAAAATCTGCAAATCACAAAATGCCCAAAAAGAATCGCAGTTCCCTAAAACCCCCTGTCAAGCAACGACCAATACAGACCCCGTCCAAAAACACTAGCCCCAACCAGACCAGCAAGAAGCCCGCCATCGTCTCATCCCGAACAGAAGATGGACCAAAAACGAAGCCAGACGACACACTCCCTTCGCTCTTGTTTAAAGCCTTAGTACCTCTCAGTACAGCTTGTTCTGTTACTTTAGAGCAGCCTGTCCATGGCAAAGAAGGTGGCCAGGGAGGGGTCCTCAGTGCCCCAGACCTCCAGCCTGTGGCGGTGCTGGGAAATCTGAGAGAAGTGGGGGACAACCTTGCCAACACTCCTCCTGTCCTCAGCTGGCAGGGCTCTCCTGTGTCAGTTCTGGGAGAGGATGAAGAGGAGCTAGAAAAGGGAGTGATACGAAGACCGGTCCTCCAGCCCAGCCCCACGCAGTGCTTCTCGCCTCCTCCTGTGGACAGTGAAAGCAACGAGGATACGAATAAGGAGCCTTGTGAGGATACACTGGATGATTATTCGCCCAGTGGCGTGTCTGAGCTCTGTGATCTACCTTGTAAAACTGAACGAGGTGCTGAGGAAGAAATTGAAGAGGAGGTGGAGAGCAGCAAGGAGACCCCGGGCTCTCTTCTTCGTGAGCTTCACCACCATAAAACGGGTTTGGATGATGTCTTCAAGAGCCTCGCCTCCTTCCTCGGAGGCCAGAGGGTCACGTGTCGAGGCGGCCCGTTCGGCGGGCCTCCTGCTAGTGCCACGAAAGGGGTGAAGTACTCCTCCTCTCTTGCACTGGGGCCAGAGATCCACTGTCATGAGAATCCGAATTTCTCCCCCAAATCAAGTCCCGCAGCGTCCCCCGAAACCAGTAATCAGTCGCCAACTCACACTACCTCAGACACACTTTTACAAATCCGCAGTACGACAGATCTGAGTGAGCCAGTCACTGAAGATCCGGCACAGGCAAAGCAGCAAAAAATTGAAAATGATATAAAGGAGAAACAAGAGGGCAAAGATGCAGAGATCCTGCTGGAGAGAACAGAGTCGTCTCTTTTGGACGGGTCACTGAGTGCAGAGCTGAGACTGACCACAACGCATACAGCCTCTTTCACCAGCCTCATTACCGTGTCCACCAAGGAGGAGAGAGACAACGGCAAGGAGACAGAGCACACAGGTACAGACAGAAAGAGAAAACACAAGGCGAAGGATGGAAGAGGAGAAGGAGAGATCAAGATTAAGATAAAGACAGAGGAAAGCAAAGTCATCTGTTCTAAAAATAAAGCAAACGAAATGAAGGATTTGAAAGAGAGGGACGTTTCATCCTCGGTACCGGTCGTTTCCAGAAACTCACCCAGACCTCTCAAAGACAGTATGAAGGGCCAGATTCCTCAGGAAAATCAAACCCCACATGGCAAAGACATCCAGAGAGACAAAGTGGACGCTGGGAACGCTAATGTAAAGACGGCAGCAGAGCAGAAGGACGAGGTCGACGGGACGGCGTCGGCAGCTGGAAGCACAGAAACCAACAGCTCACAGTCAGCGTCTGGCGTAACAATCAGTGCAGCCAAATTAGGTGCTCCCACACCAGCAAGTAAACCTCCTCCCTGCTCATTAGCTCCAGTCGACCCCCTGAAACTGAAAGCGTTGTCCATGGGCCTGTCGAAGGAGCTGAAGATCCTCTTGATTAAAGTGGAGAGTGCTGGGAGGCAGACGTTCAACATATCAGAAGTGGAGGAGCAAAGAATCCCACTTTCCAAGATCAGCATCAACAACACGGCCACTGAAGTCGTCCGAGCGTGCAAGTGAGTACAAAGATGCTGCTGGTCTGTCAGATTTTCACCCACTCCTGCTAATGAGCGTTCAATTTAACGCTCTGTTGTCTTTCCTCTAGGGGAACAAGGGTGAGGGGCAAATTCAAGGAGTCGTTCCTGCTTCCTGCCCTCTCTGTCAAACCCAGCATTTCCATCGAGACCCCCATTCCTCGGGAAAAGCTGAACCCTCCCACGCCGAGCATCTATGTGAGTGCGCGCTAATTAGTGTAGTCCTAATGATGCACCTAAGTGTCTTAAAATCTGGCATCGTTAGCGCCATGGTTACAGGGATGAAAACGTCACCTTGTGGTTGATCCACCACTTTGGCCCAGACAGGATTGGAACACAGCTGCACAGACTTAGATCACTCTAATGGTTCCCTTGTTGACTTTGGTGACCTTATGACTGGCTCATAGTGAAGTGTCTCAGAAACTTGAAATGATTCATACCGTGGATATTCATGCCAGGTTCAGTCGTGTGCCAAAATGTAAAATGTGTACAGTGCTTTGATTTTTTTGATTGCCTGACTACACTCTAAGCAGTTTCTGGGTCTTTTTTTCTCCTGTGAGCAGGTTTTTTTTCTCCTGTGAACAATATAAAGTCTTCACCTCGGGCGGCTATGGCTCAGGTAGTGGAGCGGGTTGTCCTCCAAGGTTGCCGGTTCGATCCTCCCCGCTCCTCCACAGTCGAACTGTCCTTGGGCAAGACACTGAACCCCAAGTTGCTCCCAATGGCAGGCAGCACCTTGCATGGAAGCTCTGTCGCCATTGGTGTATGAATGTGTGTGTAAATGGATGAATTTGGATAAAAGCGGTATGTAAGTTGCTTCCTTGGTTTGGACTTCGGAAATGTCTTCTATGAATCATACCAAAGTGTGAAGCTAACTTTGTTATGCTGTTGTGTCCTCCTTTTTCCTGACAGAACCACAATTGATTTGTTCAAGAAAAGTCGCAAAGATGAAACTCTCCCAATTAATTCTGTTTTGATTGTTTCTGCCTCTGATAAATAGTGTATTTTTTAACATAATTTTTTCCTAATGAGCGCATGCCTTTCAAACGTTTTTGGAATTTAGAGGGTTAAATGCCTAAATAACCTTCCCATCAGCCTCAGCTTCACTTTGTGTTTAGTGCTATTTAGTAAACATGATCACATGTAGAGTTTTACCAACACTGTAAAACACATACAATACACAACATCAGCAATGTCGTCATGACCGTGTTAGGATTCTGATATTAGCATTTAGCCCAATGCTAACTGGTTAGCACTGTCAGTGTTCTTAACTTGGTGTCAAGACATTTCTGTTTCTTCGCCATCCTTACGTGTTCCAATGTTGTGTTTGCACAGTTGGAGAGCAAGAGGGACGCCTTCTCTCCAGTCCTGCTTCAGTTCTGCACCGATCCCAAAAATGCTGTTACGGTCATCAGAGGCCTTGCTGGCTCCCTCCGCCTTAGTAAGTACATACAGCACAGTCGTAACAGCTGATGTACTCTCACATGTTTGTTCAGTTTCCATTCCTTTTAAATGCATTTTTAATGGTTAGTAATGTATTGCTGTTCATTCGGGCCTTTAGTTTATCGCTCAGTGAAAATCGTCATGCAGGAAAAAAGACACGAAAAGAAGGCATGGTTACCTCAGATATAAACGCGGCATGTATTGTAGAAGCTGTAGATGATATCTGAGTGATCTCTACAGTCACAAACCAGGCAACAACTGTTGGTTCTAAGAAGTGCTGTGTCTTGAAAACTCCACACAACCGGTTTGCCAACAAGGCAGCATACAGTGCCACATTTTCACAGTCGCATCACACCTGTGTGTCATATTTGAATGCAGACCATGCACGCTGAACCATGACGTGATCGCTGGGCAGCTAGGGAGGCTGTACGCTGATCGAGGATTGTTGCTTTGAATGCATTTGCATATTTCAGTGTGTGTTCTACGATCATTACTGTAGATGAACTCGGAGTGTTTGTGTTCCTGCACCTTCTCTCGCCACCAAGTATTTTAGGCTTCAGCCAGAAAAAATGAATTAATGCAGTGGGGTCAAAAAAAAAAAACAAAACAAAAAGAAATTAAGAAATAATCCAAAAGTAAAAAACTGTTTGGAAGTTTCTGTTTACTTTGCTAATTACCTGTGCTTTCTTTTGCTTATGTCAGATCTTGGTCTGTTCTCCACCAAGTCTCTGGTGGAGGCCAACTCGGACCATGCCGTGGAAGTGAGGACTCAGGTTCAACAGCCTGCTGATGAGAACTGGGATTCGAGTGGCTCGGCACAGACGTGGCCCTGCGAAAGCAGCCGCTCGCACACCACCATCGCCAAATACGCCCAGTACCAGGCCTCCAGCTTCCAGGAGAGTCTACAGGTAGACATTTTCTCTCATGCCTCATGTGTGCACACAAACTAATGTTTAGGAACTGAAGGTATTGTTTTGTCACTTAGGCCTACGTGTGTTCTGTCTCTTATCTAAATGCAATCAAAAGGCCTTAGATGCTTTCTTTACTTATAAAAGAACCACTTCTGCAAACAGACGTGTTCTGAAGTTGTGTTTGTAAGTGACAGTAATTTAATGGTTTTTACTGCCATGTTTCAGCAGATCAGATTCATACAGTTCAGTAGTTACTGGAAGAGGTTTGTACACCAACAGATAGTTTGGGGATGTTAGGCAGGTCTCTGTCCACCAACAGTCTACTGCAGTTTTCTGTTTTGTAATGTCTCTGTGACTATTATCGCCAGAAACAGCTTATCACTGAGCTTTAGCAAAAGTATTTTAGCATGTATGTGTCAACTAACAGCGCTGCTCCACTAACATGACATTGACAGCTGTAGGAACCTACTTTTTAATAGTTTCTAACTGCCTCAGGTCCTCAGAGATGAGCTATGACGCTGCTGATTTGGCTTTGCTCAGTTCTCGTCACTGTTGGGTATCGGGTTTGACAGTGAAACTTTTCCACACATGGTGCAGAACAAGTAGCCTTTAATGGTTATATGTTAAAGTTCAGTTTAACATTTCTTTATATCATCTCTGGTGAGAAATGCTTTATTAGTTTTCAGTGGGATTCAATCAGTTGTTTTTTATTCTGATGGAATAGAGCACAAGAGAAAGATGAACAGCAACATAAAACCAAAGTACTCTTTATTGTTATTGGCAATTATTCATTGTTCTTGTATTTCTGCTTACTCTTGCCAAAGTCACAGTGCTTTGTAATATTACAGAATTGTTTTATAAACTATACTAGGAACAGATCTTAGCATTTATATGTAAAAATGTTGTTTTTTTGTTCCTCATCATACATTCAAGTGTCCAGACTAATGAAATCCACACGTATTGTAGGCAAGCAGTGATCCAAAACTAACGTTGAAAGTTAACTACGCACTTGTTTTTAGTTGTCAGCTAAGCTCATGCAGATGTGTTATAGGAGGAGAAGGAGAGTGAGAATGAGGAGGAAGGAGAGCAGCCCTCAGACCCGTCAGCGGCCACGAAAGCTGCTCTGATGTTAGCCACCTCCACGACCAACAAAGCCAATTCTGCTCCCGTCGTCAGCAAAGCCCAACCCGTTAATGGCACCAGCACGCCCAGGTTAGCACAAAGCCCGATCCTCTGGTGTGAAGAAATAACTGTTTCACTGTGTAAACAATACTCAGTTCAGACTTCACTATTTCCACCAGCCCAGACCAGAAAACAGCCGGGAAGATCATTAAATTCGGGACCAACATTGACCTCTCTGACCCTAAAAGGTGAGATTATGTTTTTAAAGTCCACCCACTCGAACTGAGCTCACTGTGGGTCCTTGTCGTTTCACGTTACCTGCCGTGTTTTTTTTTTTTACAAGGTGGAAGCCCCAGCTGCAGGAGCTGCTGAAGCTGCCAGCTTTCATGCGAGTGGAATCCAGTAACAACATGCTCAGTCACGTCGGTCACACCATCCTGGGCATGAACACCGTCCAGCTGTACATGAAGGTGCCGGGCAGCCGTACCCCAGGTCAGTGTGTCTGCACCGTCGCTCTTAGGTACTGGCAGTCGTCTCATTCTGGAAGTTTTGAAGATCTGTAAAGTGCTTGTGTTTCCTATCAGGTCATCAAGAGAACAACAATTTCTGCTCAGTCAACATCAACATCGGGCCCGGTGACTGCGAGTGGTTTGCAGTCCATGAACACTACTGGGAATCTATCAACAAGTTCTGTGAGAAGTGAGTAAGGAGATCGTCAGACGTGACCAGAGATGTACGAATGAGCTACCTTCGCAGACTTAACTTGCTTTGTCGCTGCCCTCAGGCATGGCGTAGACTACCTTACAGGATCCTGGTGGCCGGTTCTGGAAGACCTCTACAGCTCCAACATCCCCGTGTACCGCTTCATTCAGAGGCCCGGAGACTTGGTGTGGATCAATGCAGGGACTGTGCACTGGGTCCAGGCGGTGGGCTGGTGCAACAACATCGCCTGGAATGTGGGACCGCTCAACTGTAAGTCACAGTGAGGACCAACAAAAACCCAGCAGCCCGAACCTGGATTGTCATTTGTTGTTCTTAGTTCAGATTACTAATTAAACAGGCTGTGCCGCCTTCTCCAGCCTTGTCACTGTTTGTGTGTTTGTGCTCTCCCAGCGTACCAGTATCAGCTCGCTCTGGAGCGCTTCGAGTGGAACGAGGTGAAGAAGGTGAAGTCAATCGTTCCCATGATCCACGTCACGTGGAACGTGGCTCGCACCATCAAGATCACCGATCAGGATACCTTCAAGATGATCAAGTAGGATGCCTCCGTGCGGGTATTTGAGTGCGAGTGGGCGTTTGTTTGCATCTCTCACTGTCTGCTCCCGTGTCTCTCTCAGACACTGCCTGATGCAGTCCATCAAGCACATCCAGATTCTGAGAGACCAGCTGGTGGCTGCGGGGAAGAAAATCTGTTACCAGAGCCGTGTGAAGGACGAGCCGGCCTACTACTGCAACGAGTGTGACGTGAGTCGCCCCCCCGCCTCCCCTCTCCTCCTTTTCCTCTTTTATTTTGCAAAAAAATGCAGTACAAATATGAACGCGAGTGCCAAAACCGTGTTTGTGCAGGTGGAGGTGTTCGACCTGCTGTTCGTGACCAGCGAGAACAGCAGCAAGAAGACCTACGTGGTGCACTGTGAGGACTGTGCCAGAGCTAAGAGCCCGTCGCTGGCAGGAGTAGTGGTGCTGGAACAGTATCGAATAGAGGAGCTGATGAGAACATACGACAGTTTAGTGCTGGTCAGTAACACTTCATCATCTTGTGCAATAGCAGCAATGCCATATGTTTAGCAGACTTCTCTATGCTACACTTAAGTACCAAGAGTTTGTCTCATCATTTCTAAGCTTGTTGTGTAAATTTGTTCATCTTCAAAGTACCTCAAGCTACCAGATGAATATAGTGGAGTAGAAAGTACAATATTTCCTTCTGAAATGTGGTGGAGTGGAAGGATAACTTAGCTTCCATCCTGTTATTATCTATGCACCACTTGATCCTCTGTAGGGTCGCGGAGGGCTGAAGCCTGTCTAAACACACAACCAAGCACATCCAAGCCTTCGGACAATTTAGAATCACCAGTAGATCTCGACATGTCTTTGGGCTGTGGGAGGAAGCTATAAATCAGCAGAGATACTCGAGTAAAGTACCTCAAAATTGTGCTTTGAGCAAATTAACAAACGTCCATTACTCCTGACCATTTTTGCAAAGAACCAAACACTCTCGACTCATTTCTGGTCTTCCAGGCAGCTTTTGGTTCAGTAGAGTCTTGCTCTCTTCTTATTTATATGCATTTATTCATTTTTTAAAGTCTACATTATTATTATTTTTTTGCGCCGTAGCTGCAGGCAGTGATCTTCTAGATTTTGACCTTCTCGGTGCTTTTAAACAAACAGCATTCTTATGTGCCTTCTGTTCACCTTCTTTTTTTTTGGCAGCAAATACAATAAAAATTTCCAGTGCATCACCGAGAAAGAGTTTTTTGAAAACAGCCTCCGCTTCAGCCAAACATCAATTGCAGCGTCTGTAGTTTGAGTCCAGCTGGAGGCTTTTGTTCCCTATCTCTCTGTCTCTCTCTCTCTCTCTCTCTCCCCTCGTTTCCTGTCATCTGTCAAATGTGTAATAAAGCCATTAAGTTCCTCCCTGAAACAGTCTCTGATCACAGCCGGGAAATGATAATCTGACTTTCATGAAGCCACCAATGCAAACTAACTGTCCACTGTGGCGGATTACCGGCTGAGTCTAGTGCAAATTTAATGTGTCTGCAAGTTGATTTATTTATTTTTTTTCATATCGCCTCATCAAACAACTTTGCCAAGAACTCAAGCCAATGGCTGGCTGGAGGTTTGCAGTCTGAAAACATTCACTGTGTTCTGCAAAAATGGTCAGCGGTAATGTAAAGACGTACATGATGTGATCTCGGCGATGTTAGACACACAAATATGTGGAAAAATTTACTTTTTTAGTGACTCAGGCGTTCCACATTATAACACAAGACAATGAAAAACCAAATTATACTAACATCTGAGTGGTGTACTACACAGTGAGATCAATGGGTAAATAAAGCCTGAAGCCAGAGCTTTCAGTGTCCCAAAGGTGGTCTTTAACATGCTAGCTCACCCTGCTAACTGGTGCTCTGCAGCTAGCCTGATCTGGAGGAGGTTTGGGATTTAAATCAGTCTTGAGGAACCAGCTCTTTCAACAGCTCTCTTGAGGAGCGATGCCAGCGCTCAGCTGAGGGAATATGTTCCATCTGCAGATGTAAGTCAGTAACGCCGCTGAACAAAGCCCTGCAGCTTCAGCAGCACAAACTGTATGCACTGCATTTCCACGAGGACCTAAAGGCGTTCAGTGGGTGATGGAGATTCATGCATAAATGTATTTTTACGCTCGGCGCTGACATGTTGCCAAGACTGTTTGACAGTGATGCTACTGCAGCTCATATAGCAACAGATTAGAGATCCTGTGTTCGTATTTGTGACAGAGAATTTGCAATCAATGCCATTAAAACTAAAGTGATTTCCACATGTCCCTCTTTAGGGGACAGAGCTAAATGTTTTCACTGATCACTCGAAATGAGCTGCTGCTGAATTGAGAGTGCACCGAGTGATTAGCAACTTTCTGCCAACATTCCTCTTTTGCACAATTTACTTTAATACATTTTAAATGCACAGCTCTTATTATAACCGCCTGTTGTCTCCACCGTCATGTCCAGCTCATGGTTGGTTCGTTTAGTGCGTGAAATGATGCAGCCCTTTTTATAGAAGCGTGCATGAAGAAAACCTGGTTAAACCACGATTGTGATACGCAGCGTATCTATTTGATGTTTGAGGTTTTGTCAAGACGGCGAATGCAAAAAAAACCAGACTGACCCTCTAGACCTCCCCTACCCCTCTGTGCATGACCAGGCAGCTGGGAAACACAAATAGCCACGAAGCACAACATCAAAAAATACCCTTCTAAATACGACTAGACCTTGTGGTTGCCTGTGTTTAGCTTCAGACGTGTTTTGTGTTTGATGCTGTGTTTGACACGCCGTCTGTTGTCTTCATCTCTCTCCCTCCTTCAGACTCCATCGCCCTTTTCAAAGTGAGGACTCCTCCCACGGTGTCTTTCAGCCATAACCAAAACTCTAATGGCAGCACAAATGTTGTCTTCAAGGCAATCGGTTCCTGCAAACACTTTCTCAATCAGCCAATCACGTTTACTCAGTATTGTTTACATCACACAATAAGGTATGGATACTCAGCCAATCCAACTATAGCTCACTGTCTTCCCCATACCAGCTGCTGATTGGACGTGTGTTTTGAAATAGAATGACTAGACTGGTACTTCTCATGAAAAGCATTTCAGATGAAAAAGAGAAAAGAAAAAAAAACACCACAATGTGAGCACTGCTAGCACTGAAAATCAGGTTATATATGTTCAACGGACTCTGCTGTGATTCAAAAGCGTCAAGTAGCCGGTTCTGTGTAATGATTCAGGTACTTTTATGCAAATTCAGTAGAATTTTTTTACACCAATCTAGTTATTCTATATGTCCATGAATTTGCTGTGATTCTATTGTACCAGCAGGGGAATCGCTTCACAGGAGAAGTAGCTGATTGTCACATTTGGCATCGTATTGGTTCCTGTTTTTGTTTGGTATTCAGGTGACATTTGTAATTCCTGTCTGTAAACTCTTCGAGGTGCTATTCCGATCTTATTTATTCTCGTTAGATACTTAAAAAGAAAAAAAAAAGTTTTACCAGCCTAGAAGTACACCACATTGGCCTTGTGAACTGTATTTAGAGGAGAGGTAATTAGAGGATTAAACACACAAATAAGGTTTTATGTAAGTATTAAAAAAAAAAAGATGAATCAAAAACTTTCAGTTTCTCTAAAATACGGGTTTACTAGAGGACTAATATGGTTTCATTCTTAGTTGGGAATCAAGCGTGGCGAGGGGAAACGTTTGCTTTTTCTCGAGTCCAGCTAAATGGCGGTCGGCGTGGTTTCTATGAGAAAACAGACGCAGTGTCGTTTTTATTTTTGGAAAAGGGGGAAAATAGTCCCGAGTTTTATACCTCTTTTTTTTTTCGTTGCAATGTTCCTGTTTCTAGACGACAGAGAAAATAAATAATTGTAAATTGTGAATGAATTTATGGAATACACAGTGGTGTGCATAGACGGGGTGCAGAGAGAGAGAGAGAAAGAGAGTCGCCATTGATGTTTGTGTCAATGAAGTGCCCATGAAGTAATATGTCCAAAGAGACACACAATCACTATCTTGAAATGCAAAAACCAGTGAGGCCAAACACGAGCAGACTGCAGGGCACGTCACTGTTTCCGTTTAAAGCCGACACATCCGTCCTGATGAGGTTCAGCTCCATGCACTGCCACGGGGTTTAATAATATATACTGTATTTGACATGTTGAACAAGCACATGAACTGAAATATCACAAGAAAGGCCCAGATGTCAAGAGCCCATGCTATGCTTTTGGGGTTTTTTTTCTTTTTTGGTTTTTTTTTTTTTTTCTGTTTACATTAAACTTACAAAGTCGATGCCAAAGGGAGCGACGGCCTCCCACAGAAAACACCTGCACCTCCTCACCTGCATGAAACGCCTCATCTGAAGCTCAGACTTCTGTCCTGTGACGAGTTCACGCCTGATGTCTGCAAACGTCAGCAGCTCTGGGAGGGCTGCAGCTCGCATAGAGCGCGGCATCACTGTACATAAGCAGCATCGCGTTGCCAATCAGAACAGAGCAGAGGGTGAGACAAGGTGCTGTGTGATGTGTTTCTGAACATTAAAGCATGTAAAGAAAAAATAGTCCCCGAACGTAAAACCTGCAAATGAGCATAATCTGGGCTCTTTACCAGTCCATCAGAGTATTATTATTATTATTATGAATATTATTATTTTATCACCTTAAATAGCAGTTTCTGTCTTATCTCGTATTTAGGATGGTCTTTTTCTAGTTGTTTAAAAGATGATCGCGTTTGTACGGCTTTGAAGCAGAACCGGAGTGACTTTTTTAGACCGATGCTGATTTTCTCAAAATGCCACGTGGCAGTTTTTAAAAAAAATTAAAGCCTAATGTAAGCAGTTTTATTACAGACCACCTAAATGTTTCAGGTTTGTTTTAGATGAATAAAAGCCAGGATGCTAAGCTGCATTTCTTTGGTATTTTTATACTGTAAATTCTACTACGAAGCGAATCTCGGTCGGCGTGTCGCTCCTGTTCTGCTTCAAAGTGCATCCAGCAGCTCTGATTCCTACACAGAATGTCTTTACTACTCACTACACACTGGACTGTATTCTCATGCTGTAGGCCTGTTTTTGTTTTTTGGAATCCGAGCGGAGGTTCGGCGTCACTGTTACTGTGCAATCACGCTAACGAAGCCCCCCCCACACACAGACGATCAGATCACACCTCTGCCCTCGTTAGTCTGTGCACACCATTTCATGTACATACTGTATCTGTTTTCAGGTTTACTAGAAGACTTATGTAGTTTTGTTCTCAATCAAAAATCTAATTTGTATATGGTCAAATGTGTCCACCTCAGTCAGTTTTTTTTTTTGTTTTTGTTGTTGCTATATTATAATACACCTGAAAAAAAAAAAATCCTGTTTCACTCTAGTTTAAATTACTGCAATGGGAGTTTCTTCCCACTTTTATACCTCTTTTTTTGTTGTCAGTTTCTGTTTTTTGGATTACAGAGAAAATGGAATATTGTAAATTGTGACATTATTTATACTGTACATGGTTGTTTTCTTATATATTTATTGCATATCAAAGGATACTTCACTTGATAAGGGGCTACAAGGTATTTTAAAAATGTAGTATGGTCACGATGTGTGGATAAGGGGAAGTGCAATCAGGGGGGGCGGTTTAATTTTCATGGTGCTAGACCCCCTCCTTGCCTCAATGCCCCCTCATTAAACAGCATATAACGATGTATGAACATAAGTCAGTGATACAACTCGAACCAACCATTTTGGTGCTTAGAACCATTTCAAACACAGTTTACTGGTACCAGAAATGGAATGATGTCTTTGTACTGTATCTAACAGATAAATACGAGATCTTTTTTAACTTTTTTTTTGTTTTTTTTCCATTGTATGAATTCATAATCTTGTGAGGCATTAGTGGTTTTCTGATGATGAGCATTAGCAGTAGTTGTACTTCTTGACACTTTTTGCAGAGACTTTTAGGGATGTGACTTTTAATGGCGTCGAGGTTTTTTCGTGTCTTGTCCTCATTATTATTATTAGTATTATTTGGAGGATGTAATAATGCTCTTTTTTTTTTTTTCTTCTCTCTCCTCTTGACTTGTTTGATTTATGCTGCACTTATTGTTTCAAAAAGAACTCACATAGAAGAAGACCTGAGCCAGACCTGTCTTAAATCCCTCTGTGATTTTTCTGTGACATATTGTATCGTTGTTCAAGAAAATAAAAAATGTTTTGATAAATTATTCAACCACGACTTTTTGCCTTTGATTTTCTTGCCGTCGTCTTGCTCGGTGCTTTCTGCCGGTACGCCTTCACGCTGATCTGTTATCTGCTCTTCTGGTAGTTTAATCGTAGCAACTGGACTTGCTTGAAGACGTTCCACCTCTCATCCAAGAGGCTTCATCAGCTCTGACTGACTAGTTAGGAGTTCCAGGTATCCTTAAGGATCCTGAGTTTTGGTTTCAATTGGGGGTTTGTTGCTCCGCCCCCTCGTTATGTGAGTCGTTAGTGCTCCCTCTGCCACGATGGGGTTCGTTAGGGTCTTTGTGTCTAGGTGTGGATGTGGGTTCATCATCTTGGGGACCAATCTTAGGACTGAATTGTAAACAGGTGATGCCTCAGACCTCCACCTCTGTTGAGGGACGGTCTTTCCAGTTTCACCCCTCTCTCAAACCATCTGTCCTCCACTGGCCAAAATCTGTTGTCTTCAAATGAGTGTCCTTTGTGCTTGAGATGCAGGTGGACGGCTGAGTCCTGTCCTGAAGAGGTGGTTCTTCTGTGCTTGTGGAGCGGTTGTATAGTCTCTGTACAGGTCATGACATTCCTGCACTGGACTGCGTACGCCACGTTGCTTTGTTTGTGTCTCGGTGTCTTGTCCTTGGATGTTGGTGGGTTTGAAGTGTCCTCCATAACGAGGGGGAGGAGCAACAAATCCCCAATTAAGGATATCTGGAACTCCCAACTAGTCAGTCAGAGCTGATGAAGCCTCTTGGATGAGAGGTGGAACGTCTTCAAGCAAGTCCAGTTGCTATGATTAATCTACCACGACCTGTAGGACTGAGAATCTTCACAGACACGTTATCGGCTCTTGAGAAAGCAAAGATGGACAGAGAATTTGACGATGTGTGTTTTTCCTCCAGCAGTTCTGCTTATTGTTTCTCCTGCAGGCCAACATGTGTTTGTGTTCTCAGAAAGCCAACTTCAGGCCCAAACTAATACCTACTTGATATGCATGAAATCGGCTTCTACCTCAGTCTTGATGGATCCCGGATAAACATTTCAATGTGAAGTTAGCTTTGACAGGGTTCTGATAAGCTGTCTCAACATAAATATGTAAATATCGCAGAATAATCCTGCAGAGAGACAGATATATGCTGACTCCAGGCTTTGCTGTTTATTGTAGGGTGTTCAGTCGTACTCTTTTAGAAGTGGATCTGTCCACCTCTTTGTTGCAAACTGAACTATATCATCAGCTGATTGCTATAAACTGTTGTACAGACTTTCTAGAAGGCTGCAGTGCCACCTGCAGATTGCAATCTTAGATTCAACCTCAACCACTAGTAGCTGAACAGACCTTCATCACTGCAGCTATTTTGGTATTTAATAGCAGGTAAACACTTGTATCACATTAATCAAGGCTCCGACCGAAATAGAGCAGAGCCTTAATTAATGTGATTAGTAAAACTGGTGTTTACCTGCTAGTTAATGCCAAAATGGTTCCTGCGACTTACATGAATGTCTTAAGTCACCTGACTCTCTCTCTACCAGCACTAGCACGGCAAAGCTTTGATTTATTGTGTGAAATAACATCAACATTCACTGAGTACTGCATATGAAGACAGACAAACCCTCTGTGAGGTCGCATCATCTCATGAAGAGCAGCGTTGAAGACAGTTTGACAGTTAATCTGTAAATGCAACACACACAACACCCCTAATTACGCTTAACTTTAAGCCTTAATACAATTCAAGCAGTTAAGTTACATAAAAATTCACCCCCAGTTGTCATTAACGGGGAAATCAGCTCCAGAGATCAGAGGAGTTTTTGTACCAGGCTGTTGTAAAGTTGGTTCTTTAACATGGATGTCTATGAGGGGGGACTCACTTGTGGAGGCAGCCTCAAGTGGCCATTTGAGGAACTGCAGTTTTGGACACTTAAATGGCAACTTAATCAACATTAACACAACATTTGTCCAACACTGAACTCTAATAACTTACAGTCAACCTTTTTCTTTACAACCAGGTTCCTACTAACCTGTGACATTCCCACCAGCCCCAGCGTTGCTCTACTGACTTAGCTCACATGCTAACCTAAACTGGTGATCACAGTTAATGCTGCTTAGCGTTACTATGTGAGCATTGTGTGTAAGGGCGCTGACATTAGCATGTAGCTCGAAGCGTAGCTGTGCATTAATTCTACCTCACTTATCTGCTACAGACTGAAGGCTCGTCTTGTTTGTTGTCCACGTTTGAAAGTGTGTGAGGAGGAGATGGAGAGATCTGAGACCTCAGCTTGTATTTATGTGATCCTTGACAGTTGTGCTGTTTGTATTTACCCTTATTATTATCATTTCAACCTATCTTTTGGAGAGTAGCTGCATAAGCATGTGTATGTCATGGTAGAGACTGTGATCTGGTCGTACAATCTCCCATCGCAATCTCTACCAGTAGAATCTCTAATTCTACTGATTCTGAAGATTGGTAGAGATTCGTATTGGTATTGCAAACCTTGTATACAGGAACAAAAACATAAAGAATTTAACATCTCACAACCTTTTCAGTATTTGTTAAAGAAAAAAAAAAGTACTTTATCAATAGCTTTGCATACGGTGATACCTGAATAGTAAAAAAAATGTTCTTTTTTTTTAAAACTTTATTTGTATGGCACCTTTAAGAACAGCAATTCACAAAGTGCTTCGACAGGTAGAACATAAAATACAGATAAAATACCAGGCAGGACGGGGCAACCGCAGGTAAAAACAGAATAAGAAATAGAAAGTGCATGCAAGCACGTGAACACACACTGTAAAAATGAAAATGTACAGAATGGATGGCTGGTTAGAAACTGGTTATATCACACAAGGGGATTAAGAGAGAAGCTGAAGAGAAAATCAAAGATAATTTAAGTTCAGGAGGTTAGAAAGAGGGACTACAAGCAGTAAAGATTTTAAAATGGATAAGAGGGCAGAGAGTGATGAAAGAGAACTTTACCTGAAGGTGAGTCTATAAGAGTGGGTTTTAAGAAATGATTTAAATGTTTATTTTGCTCTATAGTCACATTCTTTGTGTTTTTGTTCCTGTATGCAAGGTTTGCAATACCAATCACAGTCTCTACCAATCTTCAGAATCGACTATCTCTACCAGTAGAAACTCTATTATCTCCAGTCTCCACCATGACATATACCTGAGGTCTCCATGTGCCGGCTGCCCTTCTGTCGGTCTGCAGCCGGCGGCCACTGAGCGGCTCCACTGGACCAGTTTGCTGCAGTCAGAGTTGGTGTTGAGGGAGGAGAGGCTCCTTTATTTTCCCCTCCAGTCTGTTCTTTATACCATCTTGTCAAAGCTACAAACTGCAGCTGCTCCATTTACTTAAAAAAAAACCCAAAGTGATCCAAAAGTGTCTAAAGTCCTCTGAACAATAAAGTCATAATAGTCCTGATGGAAGGGACCAAAGAGGGGCGTTCACTCCTCACACACAGCTGATATTCTGTCAATCACAGAGACTAAGAGCGGATGTAGACGCACATTAAGCTATTTTTAAACGGCGAATACCAACGGTAGTCAGGGTGCCACATGCGGTCAGACTGTTGTTTATTCCTCCGTCAGGTCTCCGGGGTTAGAGGACATGAGACACAGGGACATCGCATCGCAGAGCGTGGACACGGCAGCGGATATCCCGGTTCCAAGGACAGGAAGGCTGCTCTTCCTCTACCAGCCCCCTCAGACATTGACATACGAACAGCTCACACTGTGGCATTGTTAATGGCAAAACCACTCATTACTCCCACATCTTTTTCTTTTTTTCTTTTCTTTTCTTCTTTTTTTTTAAACCCACATGCCATGGTCTCTTTGATCATTTCTCCCACTATTAAAATGCTTCTTATTCTCTCCAAGGAGTTCATATATCTGCTCCTGTGAAGAAACAAATAAACAAAGATGCCCAGAGTGAGACGGAGAAATGAGAGTTCATATCAAAATGCCAATTTCACCCTTTGAACTGAGCCCCTCTGGCTTCTTATCAGTCCCATGATAGCCTCTTTTCCCTACCAAATTAGTCAGAGTTCTCCTCCATCCTCATTTCCTTGTGTTTTCTGAGAACGGAGATCTGTTTTTCATCAGAAGGTCAAGGGCCAAACCTCTGTCGTTCCTGCTTCTGAAGCAAATGTGAAGCTGCTCTGGCTTTTACCTTTTCTTTATTTCAGAGTAGTTGCTGTAACGCTGCCTCAGTCTATAGTGTGATGGTGGTTGTAACACGTGTTATGTAACAGCCCGTTGGAAAGCCCCACAGTGGGTTCCTTTGTGTTTTTTCTTTCTTTTGCTCTTAAAAGCTAATATAAATCAGCCCAGTTGTTTTGGGTTTTGAAACACGCTTTATCAGTATCTGACAGCAGAGCGGAGAAAGTGCTCAGAGAGGGTGTAGGGTGTTGTGCGTTGGGCAGCATACCCTGACTCCTCTAATCTATCCAAATAAACAGTCCTCCTCCCTCCCCCTGGTTCCAGGGGTTATCACAGAAACCCCTCCACCGCTCCCCTGCCCAGACACTAACAGCAGCCTTTAACGCAGCCCAGCTTGCCTCTCTGCGCATTCGAGGCAGCACAGGATACAGACTCACACACTCAATCATATCTCAAACTGGAGTCACAGTGAGGAAACAGAATGTCAGGGAAGGAAGCGCTGAAGCCGGTGGGAAAGCACAATTTGCCACAAGTCGGCACGGCTTTTTTCTGACCTGCTCTGTAACGAGGCTGACGTTCAGAACTGAATATCAAGATTGTGGCTTTTTTTTTTGTCTGGAAACAGGTGAAAACACAAAAGATTTAGTCGAGCAAGTAGAAGGTTGGCCTTTACTTGGATTCCAACTTCAAGATCTGGATTTTCACACAGAGGAGACGGACATCAGGGGGACATTCTTCAGATTCTCTTCATCTGCCGCCACCGTCGAACCACAGGAGGGCACAGGTTAACCACACGGTGAGTACCGCAGCCCGACGGGCTTCTGAATAAACCTCAACAAAGACGCTCAGGCTGCTTAAATTAAAACCCGAAGAGTCGGTTTCGCTCTGTAGACAAAGAGGCTGATGATGTCACTGGAAGGCAAGTGTTGGAGATTGAATGGAAGGTGGAATCTGCTGACAGACGCTCACGATTAAAGGGGGGAAAGAAGTTCTGTTGGCTTCCTAATGGTTGGGTAGCTTATAAAAATCCTCTTTGAGTGGAGGAAATGTTTTATTGCCGTTTGTAGAAGCTAAAAAAAAAAGAGGCAATAAACTTGGAGAAGAATAAAATCTCAAAAACCCAAAGTCTTGTAATGATTTTTAGGCTTTTTTTTGATACTGGCAGAGACTTTGCTCAGTGCCTGAACTCCCGTGATGTTTATGAATCCTGCCTTAGAGGTCTCTGTATCACAACTAAGTGGATGGTTGATGGAAGGAGGTGGAAAGAGTTTAGTTGAATAAGTTCCAAGAGGGTTAGGAGGGAAAGGATGTGTTTTTTTTAATCACTTTTCATTTATCACATGGAAACTATCTGCAATCAGAGCTTCTGAAACAACAGTGGACTGATTTTAAACCAGAATAAAAGCTCTCACACACACACAACATTTTGAGTTTCCATATCAGAGTCACAACATTGTTCTGACACTTGAGTGATTAGCAGGAGGGGGGTTTTCAGAGCTGCTGCTCCTGCCTCATTGTTCTGGGTGGTGGTTGTCCTGGAGTCTGGAGGTGGAGCCAGCGGAGCCCATTTCCTCGCACTTAGAGCCGTGCGATTATCTGTGTTGACTTTCCACACCTTTCACCACATTACTCCAGAGCCCGCTACTTAACAGTGTTCCTTGTTTTTAGCGGATGAACTGAAGGAATCAGGGCAGGCAGGAAAAAAGGGGAAAGTTGTTTGGTTGATTTTCAATATCAGACACAAGTGCAGACACTTAAAATGCTCTGATGAATACTTTCAGTTAGAGCTCATTCTTTTTAACTTTTAGCAGCAGAGTCACATGAATTCAGATTATCGTTTGGTTACATCGAGTTGTCGTTTTCCTGCAGAAATACACCACAGAGAAGATGAGCTTGTCACGGAGCGGGACGCTGGAGAAGGCGCTGTCCGAGCAGGCCCACTCTGAGGCCCGCTCCCCGTCCAGAGCGGGGTCAGGGGTCGTGGTGCCGCCTCCCTACTCTGTGGGCGGCAGCGAGGCGGCGGACTCCCCTCTGGAGCTGAGGGGCTCCCTGGACTGCTGGGCCTGCTCGGTGCTGGTCACTGCACAGAATCTGGTCATCGCGCTGATCAACGCCTCGCTGGCCAGCCTCGTGTTCGGCACCATCCTCACCCCGGCCCTGGCCATGATCATATTCGGCTTCCTCTGCCACTCCACAGTAAGGCCTTTTATTCATTTATTCATGATTGGCAGAAGTGAGAGAATTTTTAATTTGATTAAACGTAGGTCAGCAAGAATAAACTGATCCTGCGGTTAATATACAGCGAATTAGTAACCTTCACCTGTCAGTCAGGCTTTTATTTTGAAGGGCCACTGCCAATTAAACTACACAAGGAGAAAGAAAAATGTTGTTGCAGAGATTTGACACTGTTTTCACTGGTCTTACTGGAGCTCAATGCTAATGTTTTGCAGCTGACTAAGCGTATAGGGAGACTTGAGCATGAAGAATCCTGCTCATGTTCTCCACCCATTAATGATTTTACACCAGGTTGCTCTTTGGTGTGAACACTCTGCTTACTCACAGCTTCCTAGACTTGTGAAGCTCAGACAGAGAGGAGGATGGAGAGCTAGAGGTGTGTGATGTTTTTGCCATTCCTCCTCCAGGTGCAGCCCCACGGAACCTCCCTGTACTGTTCGGACCTGCTGGATGACGGCGGCTGCGTGGCCCTGCTGGTGGTGGGGTTTCTGCTGCTCACCCCTCTGCTGGTCCTGGCTCTGGCCGCCTACTGCCGCCTGGCCCGGCACCTCCAGCTGGGCCTGTGCTTCATCCCCTACAGCCGGGCCGTCTACAAGAACCTGCCGGCTTCGCGCCACCGAGGCCGCAGCTCGGGGGGCTGCTGTGGGCAGGAGGGAGGCGTGGAGCGGGAGGGCAAGGGCAGCGTCTGGGTGTAGGAGAGCAGGGCAGGAGTAATGTGTAGCCTGGCTCTGTTTATTTGTTCCTTTGCATCTCTTTTTTCTGAAGCCATTGTAAAATTCCATCATATGTCATCATTTATATTGATTGTTTGTAAGTCAGTATTGCTTTTTGTACACAGTTCCATTGTACTGAATGTATTTTATACCTTTTTACAATAAAGTGACGCTAAACCTGCTGAGCTTGACGGGAAGCTGCGAGCTGAACGCGATGGGCTGTACTTTTATTAAATAGAACTTGAGTTTAAAGGAGAATAGAGTAGATTTAGTGAACAAAATACTTTATGCATGAGGCAGGTAACACGATACTCTACAGGCAAACAGAGCATTTTGATGACTGTGTAACATGTGCTTCCTGGTTTATGTCAGCCTCTCTTCACTCACACTGACCTGCATCAGTGTCATTACTCTTCTTTTAGTACTGTGGCAGAAGTACTCTGTTACAAATAGAAGCCACTACGGAAGCCGAGAGCGGTCGTTTTCCGCTACTGTTCTTTCTTCGCCGTTTTCTCGAGATAACGAGTGAATTTTCTCGTTATCTTGAGATAACAAGAATCGTTTTCTCGTGAAAACGAGATAATTGGTGTTTGTGTTTGCCCGCTTGTGCCCGGTCCAGGATGGAATCCCAGGTGTGTGGGTCTGACAACTTCTGATGAAGGCTGAAGTGACAGCCGAAACTGTCAACGGGATAATTATCTCGTTATCTCGAGAAAACGGCGTTTAAAAAAATGTGCGGCCGTGACCGCTCTCAGCTTCCGTAAGCCACAGCAAAAGTACTAGCTTTAAAATATACTTCAGTATCAACAGTACTGCAGACGTTAATCTTCTACGTCAGCGGTCTCCAACCTTTTTTGCACCACGGATCGGTTTTAAGCAAGAAAATGTTCTACGGACCGGTTATTGCACACAAAACAAAATTTAATATCTTTTTTTTCTATTAAAAAGTTTCAGAAACTGGGCGTGAAAACAAACAAGCACAGACGGAAGTGATAGGAAGATGAGCTAGTTGTTTTTCAAAATAAAACACCCTGCAGACTCCAGCCCAGACACGGCCCAGTACCGGTCCGCGGCCCGGTGGTTGGGAACCGCTGTCCTATGTTATAAATATGAATGCATTAATGTGTGAACTTCACTTTAATGTGGTACAGCTATTACAGCTATTCTAGTCTTGCTACTGTGCAGCTCACTCTGTAGTCATATGACACAACATGTTTTATTGTATTATTTTATATTGTATTAAAACTGTAAGATAAACGCAACATGAAGATTATAATATTTTGAATTAAAGCGCCTACAGTATATTAAAATAGAAATGTTAAATGAGTTTGTGCAGAACCAGAGTGAATCTTCTTAGTTACGTTCCACCTCTGTGCTGAACTAAAAGAGATTTTAGTGACTAATTGTAGTAGTTTTCATCCATCCATCTATTATCTATTCACCACTTTATCCTCTGTAGGCTCATGGGGGGCTGGAGTCTGTCCCAGCCGACTCAGGGTGAAGGCAGGTCTATCACAGGGCAACACAGAGAGACAAAGCACACTCACATTCACACCTACAGACAATTTAAAATCACCTCAGCATGTTTTTAGACTGTGCAAAGAAACCGGTTTTCATTCTGACCAGTGGGTTTTTGACTGTTTAAGTTTGGTTATTCATTGAACACACTAACATCGTTCCTCGTGCTACTGGCTCTTGGAAAAAAGAAAAAAGAACAGAGTGGTGGAGCTGTGATGGGGGTTGGAGGGTGTTATTTTAGCTCCTCATCGACCTCCACTGGGCTCTGTTGTGACCTGTGACCTCAGAAATGCTCAGAACTCAGATCAAATGCACATTCTGATGCAGAACGGAGCAAAACAACAAGCTTTAGTTTCGGGTTTGTAAAAATACTGCGATTATTATTAAAACAGTGACCTTACTGAGGATTAAGCGGTGTATAGATGATGGATGGATGGATCTTTAAGTGATGCTTAATGAGATTGAATATTTCATTAAGTCGGGCAAAAGCAGGACACGACTGCTGTTCCTTAGTGCTTAGTCTTTAGATATTCACAGTCACTGTTCAGTCATTGAATTTCATAGTATTAACGGTTAGCAGTCACTGGATTTTCTGTCTCTTTGCTCCATCGTAAAATCTATTCACTCATTTATTCTTGTTCTTCTTCTGGCTCAGATCTGATCCCAGACCATCGCTGTCATGACACACGTCTAATACCGCTGTGTAGACGTTTTGCTCAAACACTGTCCTCATTCTGCTGTAATCTCTCTAAATCGAGACCCAGACCAGATGTCTTGGAAAAGATTAAGATTTGGAGTATTTTAGCCTGAGTGCTATCACCCCTTATGTCCACTAGGTGGCGGCAGAGACATCATTCTATCACTAAAGTGTGAAACAAAAGTTCAATAAGTCAGCAGTGAGACGATTTGAAAGAGATATAAAACCTTTATTCATATATAAATTACAAACGTAAGGTTTGGCAGGTGTCTGGATAAAACAATGTGACTGGAGTCCTTTAGAATAAAACTGGAGTTATGTTTTAGTGTCGTAGTGCTTTAATAGTTCACATTAAAAACAAATGTCTGTGTGTTTGATATGTGGATTTGATTTCCGCGGCCTGGACAGATGTGTGAGGTTAGCAGGGTTGGTTGTTGATGTTCATTAGTAGTTTGTGGTGTGGGGCTTTGTATGGAGCTGTGAATGCACCCGGTTCCATGGTGCCGCGCCCGTCTTCATCCACCTGACCCATGAGGATGTAGTTGACGCCTGTCAGGAAGAAAAACAACGAAGAGATTAATCAGGGCTTTGAGTAAAAGAAAAACTAACTTCAGTTGTAAAGTTTCGTACCTCTGCGGAGCAACGGACACTTCTTGCACTGTGACACCAGCCTCACCGACATGGTTTCTCCGGCTTGCGCGATGGTTAATCGACCCTGTTTGTAGGCCTTAATGAGGGAGACGCCGATGTGGAGGGTGCCTCTGGGCCCCGGGGCCAGAGAGGTCACCTTCCCGGTTATCACTGCAAAAAGGAGGACTCAGTCAGAACATCTGTCAGAGTGTTTATGTGTCTGTGTGCCAGCAGCAGGAAACTCACCGAATTCACTGGCACAGAAGCTGGTCTTGATGGTTCCATCTCTTTTACAGGCTTTGGCACACAGCGGATTCTGAGGAACTGAAAGAATAAAGAGCACAGAAGGAGTGCATTAGACCCTCTATTGCCGGGGGTGTCCAATCCTGGTCCTCGAGGGCCACAATCCTCCATGTTTTAGGTGTTTGCCTCTTCCAACACACCTCAAGCTCTGCAGAAGCCTGATAACCATCCTGATCATGTGAATCAGGTGTGTTGGAAGAGGGAAACATCTAAAACATGCAGGACTGGACACCGCTGCTCTACTGGTATCTTCTGACACACGTCTCTTCACCCACCAGGCCTCTTTCCGTTCGGCCTTGTGACGGGAACCCTCCTGTCCTGGTTCGGGGTGACCTGCCCGCGGCCTCTCGTGGGTTTCACCGGTCTGGCTCTGACTGTGGGTTCAGGGGCAGGAGGTGGCACGTATTTGGGGGTGGCGACGGGCGGCTGCGCAGTGGCGGGATGTCTCGGTGCCGCGGGTCTGACTGCAGGTCTTGAGGGGATGGACCTCGTTCCGGCTCCGGAGTCGACTCTTGTTAAATCAGTGCCACGTGGGACGCTGGTGTAGTGGGCGAGGAACCCGTCAGACGTCACGCTGAGGTCGGACACAAACTGGACCAGGAGCACGTTGCCGGTGGTGATAATGGGTCTGGACGAGAGGAAGAGAAAATAATAATGAACAATAGTTGTGGTGAAGTTGCACTAAAGGCTTTAAACTATGTGTGACTCACTGCGGGGCCTCATCGCCACAGAATCTCCCGATCAGACGTGAATCATCTTTCTCTCCACCGTTGAAGAACGCGACGTAGTCAAAGCGACAGTAGGTGTCGGCCTCCAGGACGAACTTATCAAACTTCAGCTGGATTATCTGGAACAGAAACATGACTTTAAATGATCACTTTGGGTAAAAAGATTGGAATGATGGTGCTGGGAATGAGCGTCCACCGACCGTATCGGGCTCCACGGTGATCAGCCAGGAGCAGCTGATGCCTGGTGGATACTTCTTGTCGGGCCAGTTGGGCGTCTTGATCTCTCCCTGGGCTTTTGTTATCTTCCCCCCACAGAACTGCTGGTCTGGACGAGTCAAACACACTCCATCAGGATGATGGACGACCGCAGTCGACCGTACTGTCAGCAGAGGCTTTCTGCTTTAACTAAACTGTTACGTAAGTTATATTTATCTGGGAGATAAGGATTTCAGAGCTGGAATTCTTAATCTTTCCTGTTGGCCGAATCAAACGGTTTCACAAAAAGGAACCACATTGTGCAAGCTCAGGGGTGTAGCATGAAACTTTGGGCCCCTGTCTGGCTTCTCATTTATTACATCACCTCTTTTGAATGTAGAAATAACTACTTTTTTCCCTTTCTTTAATAATCTTGGAGCAATTTCTGTTTGTATTATAGCGGGCCGTAGAGAGATGACAGGAAATGTTGGGAGGGAGAGAGATGGAACAAAGATCCTCACTTGGATTCAAACTGGAGATCACACTTCATTGCTGGCACCTTAATTTCTAGGAGATCTTCCACTATGAATAACTTGATGATTTCCTAAAGCACTCATCCACAACGGAGCCCTTCAAAAACCGACGACAACAAGTTCTAATTATCACACAAGTGTAAATATAAAGACGTTTAACGTTCCCCCAAGGACAAAGCAGACACGTTGAGAAAAACAGAAGCATTCGTTATGTAAAGCATCATTCAACAACTGCTCCTCCAAGTGGTGAGCGATGGCCGCCGTAGCCTCTCATAGAGACGACACAATGACGGGTTCTGAAAGTGTCACCTGTAATAAATCTAAGAGGGCTGTGATACGCAGCATCAAGTGGCTTGAGGGCGGCAGCATGGATGTAAATTATATCTGCATAGTCAGGCAGGATGAAAATGTTCTGCTGAAAGAGAGACACAGCTTGTGTCAAAATAAGAAGCCCAGAGGAGGTTCTGAGTCTGTTCCTAAATATGAGTTTGGAACCTTTTCTGTTTGAGCTCCAGATATTTTACTAACTTAATCTGAATCTGGGGGGCTGCAAGGTGGCTCAGTGGTTAGCACTGTTGCCTCGCAGCTAGAAGGTCGCCGGTTTGCATCCCGGTGAGGACACCCGGGATGTTCCTGCGTGTTCTCCCCGTGCAGCGTGGGTTCTCTCCGGGTTCTCCGGCTTCCTCCCACAGTCCAGAAACATGCTGAGGTTAATTGGTGATTCTAAATTGTCCGTAGGTGTGGATGTGAGTGTGCTTGGTTGTCTGTCTCTAAGTGTAGCCCTGTGATAGACTGGTTACCTGTCCAGGTGAACCTGCCTTCACCCTGAGTCAGCTGGGATAGACTCCAGCCCCCCATGACCCTAGTGAGGATTAAGTGGTGTATAGATGATGGATGGATGAATCTGGAGTTATTATGGTAATTAGTATTGACTTTTTCGCCACTTTTGACTTGCTCTCTAATAGATCAGTGATATTTCTCTCATGGTTGTTTAGATCAGGCCCAACATAAGAAAGTCACTGTTACTGTGTTTAATGATAAAATGAAACTTAAACTCAGATTTCCACACAGTCTTGTGAGTCGTGTCCCTGTTGATGTTGGATGTTTAAACCGCTGCAGATGAATCAGGCAAATGTTCGCTTGAGTCATGTTTTAGTAACCGCTCTGTGACCTCAGTAACCTGAGAAACCAGAAAAATGCAAAGTGTGGCTACGCTAAGCTGTGAGCTAGCGTCATTGTCTACTTTTGTTGTGTATACCAACCAAGCACCAAGATGCGCTCATAGAGAGTTTTAGATACAGTCATCAGTCAAAGACGCCGTTCAGTCACCAATAATGATTTACACATGAGACTGGTAGTACAACAAGAATCTGAGGGCCCTCCCCGGCTGTGGGCCCTGGCCAGTTGGTTCCACTATCCCACTCACTGCCCTGTGAAAGATGTGGGAACTAGAAGATGGAGAAAGTCCCTTTTTTTCCTGTATTGCACAACCCTGAAATTCTCTTTACCACCTTCAGATAAGGCATCATTCTAAAACCTTCATGAACAGTTAATAAACATTTTACTACTTATTAATAGGTTATTATAATTCTATTTATAAGCTATTATAAGACCTTGTTCTGGGTTGCCATTAGTTTATAGTTCCCATTTGATAATAATGGAGTTATAACTGTTGCTAATCCTTTAATAAATAAGTTATAATTAATAATGTTCAATATCAAAGCCTCTGTAGTCTTTGTCCAACTAATAAAATTGATTTTTCACAACCTGGCAATGCAAAAGTTGTTTTCAATCATGACTTAAAACTCAATAATGTAAAACTTTAGCCATTAACAGCAAAAAACAGTATTTTGGGAAAGTATTTAACCATTAATAAAGCCATTAGCTAATAAGTGTAATCCCTTTTAAACACATATTTGTTGTACAAAAGCAAAGACTGTAATGTTCCTGTAGTCTGCAGAGCTCAAAGAAGTCAGAAGTATTTGCATTCAGGCCCTGGTTTATACTCTGTGGTTTGGTGTGTTATTAAAGCAACTCGATCACGGCTCTGAAATGTGACCACGTACCATCTACATAGGGTTTGGTTCCGCTGAAATAGGCCACAAATCCTCTGCTCTGCGTCTCTCCGTCCGTCACCATCTCCAGCATCATGGTGTTTGTGGTAGAAATCAGAGCGCCGGGCCGGAAAGTTCCACAAAAGCGACCCAGTTTCTGCACCAAGTTGGAATGGCCGTTGTAAACATCCAGATAGTCGTAGCGGCACTGTGAGTCAGCCTCCAGGTCAAAAATGCGGAAGGAGAGCGTGACCACGTTTCCCTCTGGGACCTAAACAAAAAAAAATCATTTATGAGTCAAACACTGGTGGACCGAGCCAGGAGGGAGTCTGGATTTAGACCTGCTGCAGGCCGAGTGACTCACTGTGATGCGCCAGGTGCATTTACTGTTGGGTTTGTAGAAGCTCGGGAAGCCCTCGCTGCCGACGAAGCCCGACTCCGCCACCAGGTCACCCCCACAGTAGAACACAGGCCTGCGACGAAGGAGGTCAGTGAAACAATAGATTTAGAATAATACAAGCCCGCTGAGACTCTCTCAAGTCCCACAGATGCAACAACCTTGACTGACTTCCTTTGGGCGGCCGCCTGTAAACACGAGCTGCTCTTGGAGGTATCAGATAATTCACTGGGAGAAATGAACTGGCTGAACAGGGAATAATTTCATTATCTGATGGTTAAACCGCAAGTTCTGAGCCTTTATAGTGTGCAGATGCTGCCATGTTAATTCATGCGTTTTATTTTCCTAATTAAAGTCTGCAGCTAAATCACTTAAGACCAAAGGATTGGAAAAGAAAAGAACAATAATCAAACCAACCAAGTCAGAGTCGCCGCTAAAGCTTTGTAACAGGAACATAATTAGATAAAGATGATTTATTACAACAAATTATTTTAAACTCTCAGCCATGCTTTAATATTGCCTCATAAGGGATTTGATAAAAACTGATTAGACTAAATATCACATTTTAAAAACAGCTGTCAATATATAATTTCAAACCCCCTTTTTCAAAGCACTCCTATTTTCACGACAGCAGAGTTTTATAGAAGCTGGACTTTAAAGCGAGGCCCAGTTTGAACTTGGCTAATTAAAGCTAATGTTAGCGTAGCTGTGGTTTGATTCTACAGATGTTCCTTAGACAATGAAGCAACTTTATGTGAAGATCAAAAAGACAGACATTGTTTCTCTTTTGTCGCTAAAGCTAACAGGAGCTAGCAGAGTTAGCTACCCTGTTTCCATACAGGAAGTTGAAGTGAACTTTTGAAACGTCACAAAAAAGTTAGGAACATATTAATTGGGCTTGTTTCCATTAACTGTTTTAGAGTGAATAAACTGGGCTGTGTAATGTTGTCAGAAGGTGGCAGTATAGACTACACATGACTGGAATAAACACAGTAGAATAAAGCTTAATCATAACCAGTTGTATGCTAACGGCGAAAAACACCTCAAGAAAACAGAACAAAACAACTAAATTTGAGTATATTGTGTTCACATCAGCTGATGTTGGCCGTATTTCATGCTCTCCAGAGGCAAAGACAATGAAAGACATGAAAACAGCAGTCATGAGTTAAATGTTTATTTGTCATCTTGCAACTCCTTTTTAAAAAAAAAAGTCAAAACGTAATTCAAGTGAATTTGAAAACTTCTTTTGCTTAATTTTTTTTTTTTACATTTTAAAACTTTTTCATGGGATGGCCTTCTTCAAAATCTGCATAAAAAATATATTGTGGCCTAATGTAGCCAGCCAAGCTAATTAGCTAGTTAGTGTTAGTGTTTGTTGTGGCTAACAGAAGCTAACTGGCTAATTTGAGCTTGCTAACTGAAGAGAGGCAGGAGGGATGTGATTGGCTAAATGGTGACAAAATTTATTAAGACATAAATAGAGTTTTTAAAGAAGACATTTAAACAAATTCGTATGAAAATGAAAGATGAAATAAGATTTTAAAGTGACTTCGTACCTGAGTTGTCATAATTCCTCAAATTATTTTACATATTTGTGTATTTGGAGAGATGGAGCGGTTACACCTTTTAAAGATAAGCTTTCACAATACATTACGAAGACTTTGATGATATTAGTTAGTTAGTGGCCTGTAGAGATTTAATCAGTGTCACCCGTCTGTTTTAATCTGAATCCATTCCAGGCTGTGGTTTCCTTTGGGATGGGCACGCGTGGCCATTTCTTTAACCACTGTACATGTTATTAATGTTTAACCACATTAAAACTGAAGCTATATTTACTTTAGCTATAGTTGCAACTATTAATAAACATCTGAATAACATAAATCAATACAAGAACTAAATATGAACTGATGCAGCTGGTGACTGTCACAGTAACGAGGACGTCATTAAGGATCCGTCTTGTGAATGGATGCAGGGTTCACAAATGTTTGGGAACTACTGTTTAGGAGTCGTAAAAATAAAGCAGAATGAACAAAAGCAGGGCTGTGGCTTTTTAAAAACTTTTTGACTGAAATAGAGCCCATTTTGCAGCTGGCAGAGCGTTCAGACCTCATAGTTATCGTGTCACGTCGTGTAATAAATCCCGCTGCTTTCCAGACACTCACAGAACTCGCTGGATGACAGAGCTGATTTTTACAGACGGGAAAGTTTCCTATTTTCGCCTGTTGCCAGCAGCAGTACATAAGAGCCATTTGTAAACTCGCGAGCCATAAAAACGTGTCAGTTATTTCGAAGTCACTAAGGCGTTTTACGGTCTCTTAGTGCTGTGGTCAGTCTTTGGCTCACCTGCAAAAAACGGTCCAGTTCGGACTTTTCATTGCATTTTTCTACAATTACAGCGCATCTGTGTCTTCATCCTCAATTTCGAGCAAGTAAACAAGTTGTTAGAAGGAGAAAAACAACAATCTGAACTCCCAAAGGAAAAAAAAGAGTTTACAGAGCTCAGACAGCAGAACCCCAGCAAAGTCAGACAGCTGCTGATTAAAGCCAAAATGTCCAGAGCCAGAGCCAAGTTCCTCTAATTCGACCCCACAGGCAGAGCTGAAAGCATTAACATCTGTGGCAGCTCAGCCACTGCAGACTCAGCACGCCTCACATCATGAGCCAGAAACCAACAGGACAGCTCTGTGCCCGATCAAACAGTGGACTGGAAAGTATGCACTGACAGAGGCAGGAAAAAATCTGAATCAAACAGTGAAGGCTGCTTCCTCATCCTGAAGCTGCAGGAACTTGTGAACTCAAGTAACCCTTGGTGTTAACCCTTTGTTAAACCAAATTGTATGTTTACTTTAAAAGTCTCATAAATGGTGACTACGGTTCATCAACTTTGCCCTCACCTGGTGTAATTCGTCTGCTGAGCCTTCGTCCATCCCAAAGCCAGGCACAGGAACAAGGCGAGACCCCAGACGCAGCCCACATGCATCATGATGCAGCGTGAGCAGAAAGCAATGCAGACTGTTGCAGAGATGGTAGCAGGAGGCAAGAGGTGAAAGACAGCAGGAGGAGGAGGAGGCTGCTAGCTGGGGATGGGCGGAGAGAGCGGATGGGTAGGAAGGAATCAGAGAGCGTGGGGGGGTTCCAGCATGGATGGAGAGACGGACCGAGATGTTGAAAGGACAACAGTGGTGAGAAAGAGCCGCGAGGGGGGGATGACGTGAGCCGGGGAGGGCGGGAGGAGAAGGGCTTTAATTAGAGCCAGATGTTTCCTCTAGAAAACTCCAGAATCATCCGGGCTTCAGTATAACAGAGGGGACATCTAGGAACGGATCAGATGTTTACAGCTGACAGATCTTTTTACAGCAGATGTCTCTTCACGCGGTTACAACTGACGTGAAGTTTATTAATGGCTGCTTCTGGTTAATCATTAAACAGGGTTCACAGGTGGAGGCAGAGCCCGAGGCCCTGAACAAGAAGGGTCAAAAATCTTTACATTCCACAGCAAGACCTCTAATTAGCCAAACCAAGTGTTTTTTTCTTTAAGTAAAATCATTAACGCTAATCATCCAAACAAAGCAGAAGCACACACATGCAAAGAGAGGATCTTTAATAGACCTCTTTCCTAAACCCCAGGAGCTCCTTGGGCTCCACAACATCCCAAGTCCGAGAGTGTCTGTTTGCCCCCGCAATCCGCCACGGCAAGAATAACACTCCAGAGGGGGGGAGTATTCTTTCTCTGTTAAGATTTGGTGATGAGCCAACCCTCTGGACTACATTACTGAGGCCTGTGGAGGGGATGCTGTTTCAGTAACGCTCTAAAGTCTGCCACTTTCACAGACTGCAGAGGTGGAACACCTTCATCAAAAAGCTGGAACGAGCAGGACGGACGGCCCGTCGACGCAGACTCCTCGGAGAGATCGTGTTGCACGCTGCACATGTTTGTTGTTTTTTATTTTCTTCGGCGCTTTCCAGGTTCTTGAAATAGTTCTGGTGCCACACATAAGGATTTAACACAGTTTGGGGGCTCACGAGGAGCTGCAGAAACGAGCATTCCCTGGTCCCACTGTGTTGCATTTAACCCAAAGTCTTGATGAGAATCAGCAGGAACAGGAATGCGGTGACGCGTAGGGAGTCTGCTGGGGGGAGGTTGGTTGGTTGGCTGGCGTCGTAGCCACTACCATTATGTGTAGGAGTAACAGTGACCTTTACACTCAGCAGTAATCCAAGCCAAGAGTGTAGGTTTCTGCTATAACTCCTCCGACGAACCCTTCGAGCTGGACCCGCATTCCTTTCGGACAGTCAAAGGGAATAACAGCGGGGGAGTAGATGACTGTTGTGAAGGGAGGAGAGGAGGGGTTGGTTAAATCAGAAAAAAAAAAAAAACTGGCAAAACAAACCTAAAACGATCTGACAGAAAGACATTCTAACAAAGTGAGAAGCTGTTTGTGAATGCGCCCTGGAGCCGGGTCATGTTCCTACAGCCCCTCTACACGAGCTAACCTCTCTTTGACTTATAAAAAACACGACCGAACGTGACGCTGTGGTGCAGAAAAGCAGAATGTGCAGTTGTGCGAATCTATCCGAGAAGGTGACGGATCCAAGCTGATGACTCCAGAACAATCGGCCATCCAGCTGCTCTCTGTAATTGTGGCTCCTCTTAAATTTAACCGTCCGCAGTTTAAAAAAAGATCAGACTTCCAATTACACGGTGCAGCGCAGTAGGCCAGATTTCATGTGATCCCAACAATAAACAGAAACACATGCACAGAGGTGAAGGTCTGACTGGAAATGATGGCATCCTGCTTGTCTCGTAGCTAAAGAGGGAAGTGAATGGAGGCAGAGATGATAGATCGTGCCAAAACAAAAAGGCCTCACGGCACCTAATCTGGCGTTAGCAGGACGTCACACTGCAGTCAGATCTCACAATTAGGAGCCTGAAGGTGTCACACCTCATGCTGGGAGCCTCCCTTCACTGTTCATGGCAGCTGCTCCGGAGACACATCATCACTCAGCAGCAGGGCCAAGGCAGAGTAATGACAATATCACGGCTCCAAAAAGCAAAGCGCTTCCACAGCGAATACAGTAATAAAGAACCTCTTTTTCTTTCAAGCAAATATGCTGGGTATTTTTTTAAAATTGAAAAGCAACTGTGGAAATTTCTGAAATCTTCCCAAGGCATGCACGAGTTTGTTCACTGGAAAACTGTGAGTGGAGTAAAGGAAAGTCTGCTCCAGGTGCTCCTATGAATATGCATTTCTCCACTTTCATTTACTGTATGCTCTATATGCACTGTAGATCATTATGAGGTCATTCAGCTTAAACACAAGCTCTCCTGCTGCCTTTAAAACCAGAGCTGAATCATCTAAACTTGAGAAAACAAGTTAAGATTTTTGCAGACTTAGTTGCTTTCTTTGTCATTTAACTTTAAGAACTTCGTAGCTTCAGTTGTTTAAGACTCTGGTTTTAGCAAAATAAACTATTTTGGTCTCCAGACGCTCGTCATGGTTGGAATTGTTTTGACCAGTTATGAAAAGAAACAACAGGATTGAACTTAGTTTAACTATTAAAGACAGCAAGTCTGGTTTCCCAAACTGCAAAAAAAAAAAAACAGGAGTCTTTGGGGAGTTTGAACTCTCTAACAACGGGTCAGCATCACGGGAAGTCTATCTACATACGAGCTGAGTTTCTTATAAACTTATGAGTTGAGTGAACTCTCGGCTTGTGTTTTTATGCGGTACAGTGATCTGAACATAAAAAAATGTGATATTTTAAACTCAATTAGCTGGAAAACTCTGATGTTTACATTAAGTGGACTAGAGAAGAGAAGCTGGTTTGACTAAATTCCCTACGATGGTGTTTTATTTTGTACCCTCTGTTACTTATAGGTTAGACGAACACAACTAATAGCAGCTGACCTACTTTTTTAGACTCATTAGCACAAATACAAATTAAAGCCGCAAGCGGCGATGGACGGG